AAATACCATACATGTTGTTAAGACGCTGAAGCTCTGAGAACCGCAGATTTCCCTTCCGGCTCAGGACATTTATGCGGAGATTCCCGCAATGACAATAAGGCTACCAGACGATTTTCTTTTCTCTGGAATATCGGTCGCCGGGGACGCAGGTGAGACCGGGCCGTTCTTGCCCACTTGTTCGTGAAAAAATGGTCTCGCATGCGTTGTACAAATGCTGGGAGGAACCAAGATGATGTCCCATCATTCTTCGATTACTCTTTAATGGTCATTCAGGTCTGCCGTTGCTAAGTACCTGGCCGCCCTTCTCTTGACCACTTCTTAACCACTTCTTAGCCACTTCGGCGCGACACCTTTCAACTCAAGTTTCCTGGATTCCCTAACGAGTAAGTCATACCACCTAGTCCGAATCCATTGGCAGCTACAAAATATGCGTGTCTACAAAGAGATAATCTTAGCGTAGATGACAAAGAGTGTGTGAGTGACTTTTCACTGTACAAAGCAAGATAATCAACTGTGGCCTGGCCTGCTCAATGGCCGATACGCCAAGACCTCGGCAGTGAGCCCAGAATATCGTTACTCAGCCAAGTTGACAGTAGCAATGTAAGGTCTTCCATCATGTGCAGCTCCTAATACTCTGAAATCCCCTAGGATCGCTGCCAGGAAAATTTTCCGTCGGCCGCGAAAAAGCTCGCGGTTCGGGTCAGATCCGCATAGACCGGGCTGGTCCGGTTCCTTCCACGGGTCTGGCGATCAACTGTTGACCAACTTTAGCAACGGGCTGAAGAAACTTTGTGAGTGGAAAAACAAGAAGTCGTTAGCACAAAGTTGAGTATTAACTCATCTAAGGGGCAAGTCGCACGATCTTCGCCCGAGTTACTTCAGCCGGATGGTCTATGGAAGCCGATTGGCCCGTAGCACAGCTCATCTTCCCTGGCGGAAATTTGTCCTTCTAAAAGTGGCTGTATAGCTGTCTCATGCATTAAGACCTAGATGCAAACCAGCCCCCAGCCCCTATTTGTCAGCACACCGCTCTTCCTCTCATCATTCTTGTGCGTGTTAAGTTGGTTTCCTTCTCCTGACAGCTCTTCTACTGAATCTGCTCTATTTTCAAACATTACGGACGCAAAACCACGGCTACCAGCGATATGAATTACGAGGTTGAACAAGAAATTGTCGCATTCTTTGAGAAGACTACGACGACTCGCTCAGCCTGTGACAACTATGCGAGTGAGCATCTTGGCGGAAATGTCATTCCAGTCGACGTGCAAGGCGTGTGTAGCTACACCGTCTATGCTGGCCCTAACGCCGAATTCGTCGTGCAGTATCGTCTGAAGTCGCTAGCGCTGGACATGGATATTATGAACCTCGTCAAAGCCATCTACGGTACCTTGACACCCCAGATCTCCTTCAAGGGACAGATCGGGGACGATCATGAGAGTAAAGAACCGCTTTACATATACGTGATGAACCGAATGCCAGGCATCTCTCACCTGGATTTCATCCTAGCGCATAACGGTGATGTACCTGAAAACTCGCTCGAGTTTTCTCGCTGGCGCCAAAATCTTGTGGCCGACAACGCAAAGTATGTGATTCATTTCTACTTGATATATACAGAATCGCTGATTGTACTATGTAGATTCTTTGCTCTATCTTGGAAAGGTCCTCAGGATGTTGATCAAACGTACCGCGAGCACCTGTGCCATCAGTACGAACGAGACCTGAATTTGTTACTTGCTTCTCTCCCCATTCGATTCCATCCATTGATCAAGAAGTCTCTTGACTCGTTGCCGGCCATCTTTTCACTTCCTATGGTGCTACTACACAATGATTTCGGTTCCTTCAACATGCTGGTGGACGAAAAGTCTTGCAATTTGCTCGGCGTGATTGATTGGGCCGAGGCTGAGATTGCTCCATTCGGCATAAATCTCTACGCTCATGATCGTTTGATAAGTAAGATCCACTTGAAACATGGCTGGTCCAGGTATGATGATTATCGCCTTTTGGATGAGATATTCTGGAGCACTTTCAGCCAAGAAACCGGAGTGGACAATGAAACGATCAAAACCATCAAAGCCGCAAGGATTGCTGGAGTACTGTTGTGGCTTGGCTTCACAAGTCGTCTTCCGAATGAGTCGATGCCAGTACCGATTTCTGATGATGATGAAAGTGGAGCATATGGCATGCGTGATTTAGACGGGCTTTTGATTAATCCAACTACGAGGTTCACGGACTTGGTATGATCAGATGAACTAGGGGAAAAATGAATGTGAAATGACTAGCCAACTGGATACAAAACATAGCACTAAAGGACACCGGCCATAGCAAGAGCGGCTTTCAAGTCTTCTACATTCTCCAACTTAGGAATAGGCTTTCCTGCATTGAAGACCCTGTGATTACCCGTGTTGATTTTCGCATGTGTTTCGTTTGACGCGCGAACACGTGGGTTGCCATCAGAAGTCTCGAATTTCCAGCCTGTAATGCGGGTCGGCACAGTGTTTTTCACAGAAAGCGAATCCACCATGACAGTTCCTTCATCTAGAATAAGCTCCTCCATGGAGCCATCTTCGCAGCCGAGGACTTGGAGGCCAATGAGGCTGGCGAGATTGTTGTTGAGGATATACTTGAGAAACTCGTCAAGAAATCCAGGTCCTACGCTGGACAGATCCGGAAGAGGCCCATCTTGTAACTCGTACGCGCACAAGCCGTCCTGAGTGAGGGCGAAAATATGCCCATGGACACGGGAGGGGTCGATGCCGCTGATGTTGGTGATTCTTGTCCATCGAAGGGAGTTGTTCTCGAAGTTGGTCCCAAGCATGACGGTGTTCTTGGGGATTTTGAAGTGGCCGTGGATCAAGTGAATACCAAGTGACTTGTCCGCATTGTAACGGACGAATATTTCCGCTAGATTCTCAATGTGCTCATCAGCAACGGCAGGCTGATCCGCATCATCGAGAAGCTCGTTGTATCTATAAAACGTTAGCCACATGTTTGATATACGGGATGATTTCGTACAGAGCAGAGCTCTTGCTAAAGTCCTGGATCTCCAGAGCCTTATCAAGTCTAGGAAGAGTGGGAGGCAAAGAAACTATAGCGGCCATTGTGACTCGAATTTCGTGTGCTGTTGCGCAACGGAGATCGGGGTATAGTAAATGATGAACTAACTGCTGTAGCTGGATAACTCAGAAAGGAAGGAGAAGGATTGAGAACATCATCTCTATTTATGTGCTGGCTTGGAAAAGATTGCTTCATCCCTGTCATAACTATTTGGTCGAGCGAGCGCGAGAGGAAATATCTCGCAGGTGGGGAACCTTGTCATTTGAAGCGGCTCACAGGGCCTAAGCGTTCTCGGCGTAAGCGATTATGCATGTCTCCAGGAGGAGAGGACGTAAAGGGGCAAACAGCAGACATGTACATACTGGCGGTCATTGGTCATGAGCGCTTGCGGCGAGAAACGCGTGGATTCTGCCTTGACCTAGGAAAAGCACCAGGAGCGATGGGGTCCGTGGCGGAATATGGGAAGCATTAAGCGCGATCATTGGACTGCGGGAAACGCAGATAGAACTGCTCGCTGCCCGGCGTGTTTCTGGGATTGATGCTTGGATATGACTTGAGGCTAGCTAGTCTTTTGGCTGCAGCATGTTATATTTATTTGCAGCCAATCAAGCCGAGGTCTCCCGTCTACCGCTTATCCGTCCGATCACTTTGTTCACCCCAAAAATGACCAGTAGTGCTATCCCCACTCTCGACCACTTGTTCCCCGTGTCCCCCTCTCTTTTGTTTCGTTCCTCTTTTGTTTCGTTCCTCTTTTGTTTCGTTCCTCTTTTGTTTCGTTCCTCTTTTGTTTCGTTCCTCTTTTGTTTCGTTCCTCTTTTGTTTCGTTCCTCTTTTGTTTCGTTCCTCTTTTGTTTCGTTCCTCTTTTGTTTCGTTCCTCTTTTGTTTCGTTCCTCTTTTGTTTCGTTCCTCTTTTGTTTCGTTCCTCTTTTGTTTCGTTCCTTTTGTTTCGTTCCTCTTTTGTTTCGTTCCTTTTGTTTCGTTCCTCTTTTGTTTCGTTCCTTTCTGTTTCCCACGATCCTCTTTCACCATGTCTCTTTTGTCTTCTCCCCCGTATACCTTAAGCGATAGAATAACAGACCCTAAAAATTAAATGTGGAGGTGGCTGATTCTGAAGTCTTATCTGAACTTTGTTTTCTGTCAGATCATTCTATTTCCTTACCAGATTTATTTCAATGGAGCTACTGTTCTATGGTTTTATCGGCTTTCTACTAAATTTACCTGCCACCTTCCACTTGTGATTGAATGCTCTGATTATCTTGGATGTCGTAGTCACGTGATGAGGGGCTATCTGCCCCACCACGAAAAGTCAGCGGCCATGTGCCAGCAAGTCGACACGTTGATGGGGGTTAGGCATTCACAGTTACTCCTGAGAAACCGTTCGATCAGCGAACATTCTGGATCTACTCAGTATATTTACTTCCACAATCTTGTCCAAACCGTTGATTTTCAATCTTATCGAACGCCTGGCGGAGTCCGTGATCCTTTACACGAATCCTGACAATCGAAGTGTTCACAGGGGTTAGTTGGATAGCCGAAGATACCCATGATGGCGGCGAACGAGTATTATTCGAAAATACAGCTCGATACAGATGGGGATGAAGAGATCTTGGGAAAAGCTAAAGAGGTCTGCCACCATTTTTCCTTCCTTGCAAGACATTTGAACCTAATAGGAGTGGCATCCAGCTAGACGGGCAGCTCCAAGTATCCCTACTCGAAGTCGACCAGACTTGGACATCTTATACGCTGAAAATGATACCTGGTCATCCGACTCATCGTCTTATCGTTTTTCGCCCACATCTATCGCGGGAACTTCTTGGGTGTGTTAGGGTGTACCGAGCTGGGACCACTGTGAAACTTTGGGACGTATATGATTCGAGGGACACATTCATAGGCAAAGTTCCAACGGATTGTGCTATCGAAGCGATGGTGGTTGATGTGAAATTTATCAAGCAGAGGGAGAGCCAGAGTTGAACATCTCAGGCAAGTCATGCTCTGCAGAACTAGAAGGGAAGCCGGCGTTAAATATCTCAGTTAAGTCGTGCTTTCCACCGTTTGCCACTGCTTCGGACCGCGAAATCGACAACACCAGTGATGCGACACGGTCTTGCTGTGTGGGAATCGTGAGGATTGCCGAGTGTCCTTGAGAATGCTCGGATCTTTTGTGTAGCTCAACGAAGGTATCCAAAATGTTTGAAGGCACGTCGAAGGCTACCTCGATTCCTCTTCCTCCTCCCATTTGTGATTCGGTTCTGTTGTACATATTTGCCGAGCTTCCGCTATAAGCGGACTCATAATAATGGAAGCGAGCACCGTTTTGCTGTTCAGCAATGAGTTGATCGTTCGCGACACGATAGTTTACGGTTTGGTCGGCCTTTGAACCAACTACTTTTCAAGGTCAGTATCTTGTCTTGCCATGTCACTAGGTTGATTTCCATACAGGAAGTCGACGGAATCAGTGCATCCGGATTTGTTCTCGCCGAAGAGTTATCCTCCGCGTCGAATTGTTGTTGCGATCGGGCTTCATAATTCAGAGGCATCTGTTGGTTTGGCAAAGCATGTCTCGTGGAAGGACAAGGCTCTTCCCAAATTTGGGATGCCTCCTCCTTGAGCAATTTTGGGAAATTCATCCTGCGTGACCATTCGTGAAGCTCCTGATAGAACCCATGATAGGTTATTTTGGGGCAACCCGAGATGGAGTACCTGAGCATGAACAGTAGAACTGTCTCGGAACCAGCTGTCTTCTTGACTTTGAACGCAGTTTTGCGCGCATGCATTCGAACATGTGTTCGGGTTCTGGATCTCTTGACTGGACCGTTTTCTTTGAGTAGGACCTTCCATGCATGTAGTTGTCGTTTCTGCCAGCCGCTTAAAGGGGTGGAGGCTTGGTCCACGAAGAGGGCAATCAGAGTTTCAAGACTCTTGAGAGACTGAGCTGCATTTTCTGGAGAATCCATGGCAAGACAATATGATAGACTTGCCAGGGAGGGAAGAGGAAGGGAACAGGAGAGGGAACAGAAAGGGAACAGGAAGGGAACAGGAAACGGAACAGGAAGGGAACAAGAAGGGAATAGGAAGGGAACAGGAAACGGAACAGGAAGGGAACAGGAAACGGAACAGGAAGGGAACAGGAAGGGAATAGGAAGGGAACAGGAAACGGAACAGGAAGGGAACAGGAAGGGAACAGGAAGGGAACAGGAAGGGAACAGGAAGGGAAAGGAAAGGGGACAGGAAGGGAAAGGAAAGGGGACAGGAAGGGAAAGGAAAGGGGACAGGAAAGGGAACAGGAAGGGGACAGGTTTTCTCGTATTGTATTCTTTCCGTTCCGTTCCGTTCCTGCCTCATTCTCTTTTGTCCGATTTCAACCTAGCTTGGGATGTAATTAGAGCTAATCAATCAATCATGAAAATTGTACACTACATGGCAGTCCAGAACAAGGAACATTTGCTTCAGCGCAAAGAGTCATTTAGAAGACTTCATTCGTGATCACAATAAGAATCTGCCTTAGTGGGCGCTTAGAGGATTCGGGGAATCAGGAGAGAGACGTAAAGGCAATGCATTCTAGGCCTCTTTAGTATGTCGAGTAATGTAGAACCAAAATCTCGCTTTGACCTACATTAAAAGCAAATCTATCTGATCGGCCTCATGCAGCAAACAACAACCATGCAGTAGCTAGCCCTGATGCTGGATGCTGGAGAAACTCCGCTAATCATGTCGGTCAAGGTAAGACACGGGATATTGTATTGGCCCAGGGGTATATAGTCCTGCATATTGATGGCAGCCACGACGCCATACCCTGCCGCGCTGCTCAGTTCCATGAAAACCATCAGACAGCTGGTAGAGACAATTGTGTGTTTCCAGCCCACATTCGCTACTATCAATGACGACTCTTCCATTGAGTCTTTCGGAACTCCGTTGGAGGACTATCAAAATACTGTACCTGCTTCAGCAGACTGTGATTTTCAGGAGAGGCGTAATCATACCAAGCAGAGTGCTGGCGAATCAACTCCTCGACCCCCAGAAACCGTGTTTCTGTGTGAATCGCATAGGCATACCATCTATCAGACTGTTGTACCTCGACCTATCAACAGTCAGCCCATACCAATTGGCCCTGTCTATAAGCCGAACCGCGAGTCCATAGGCGCATACTTGAATCCTCGCACACCGCCAACGACCCCACAAAAAAGCGTCACATTATGGCATCTGATTACCTGCAGCAGTAAGGCAACTTACCTTGATCCTCAATATGGTGCTAATAGAAGAACAGGCTCGTAAAGCTCATCCCATAGAGTATTTCAATCGTCCTAGCATATCAGCTGCTGGGCATGGCGAATCATCTCGGGTAGTTTAAAACTCAATGTCTCGGGTGCTTGGAATTTGAAAGGTGGGAATGTACGTGAAAAGGCCCAGATACTGTGTGGTATCATACATATCTGCGAGTTCGTCCAGAGGGCCAGCCCAAGAATTGAAACGAAGATACTGCCAGTTTGATACTCAAATTTTAGTGCTCTATCGATGCACAGAGAAAACGAAATGTAGGCGTTGGTATAGATGTTTATGTTCAGAAGTTTATGTTGTGCTCGCTTCAAGGCACGATAGAACATTCATGCAACGGAAACCTCGGACGTTCAGTATGCGAGGGCGTAATAGCTTAGGACCTGCGTCGGGCCGATTGCTGACGCGAATACCATGAGCTCAAGGCCACGCGCTAGCTAAGCGTATGGAATCCAAGCTCTATCCAAAGCCGTACATTCTACTATGCGTCGATACCGCAAGTTCTTGGTATTCGGCAAGTAAATTAACCAATAATTTTTACCCCAGAATATGCGTTGGCAACGCTGCGCTTTACTATAAAAAGAGGTCTTCGTCGTATTGTGGGACTCTGGTACATTTGATTGCTTGTATCCATTCTGTCTTAAAATGTCTGACGTGGAAAGGCAGCTCGCAATCCTGCTGAAGGCTCTGGTGAAATCTGACTTGAAATATATCTGTCCTCGATGTTACCAGCTCTTTCCGGACATCGCTGCGTGCTATCGCCATTGTCGGGAGGCAGGGGAAGGCGAAGGAGGAGATGATATACACAAAGGTCTTGGTTTGATCACAAAGAAAGACTTCCCCGAATTCCTTCGATGCTACCGTGTGGCTATTGGGTTCCCAATAGCTGAATGTGATCTTCCATTGGGAGATGGCCCCGGACGTCGCTCATATAACCAATGCTTCTCAGTTGACTTCGTGCTTGGCAACCGTCGTGAGTCTTCACTCGTGAACGCAAGCTCCAGGCGCTTAAACTGATGTGGACACAGTTCCTAGCAGAGAAACAATGGACGCAATGTTGTTGGCCGTGATTAGAGTCTAGATTAATGCTTATCAAGTGTGGTAAGTGACGGTCGTATGTCCCGAAGGACTTGCCGAACGATGACAAAGTAACAGCACAATACTACAACAGAGAACTATTCGAACAGTGAGGATAAGAACACACGAAAATGAGGATAAAGCTTACTACGTTTTATGTGAAAGACTACGGTAAAATATTGGCAATCAGATCGTGGTTCAGGGCACAAGAATATATTCAAAAACTCCCTTGGAGTGTCATGACAGGAGAGCCCATGTGTCAAAGTAGAAACTAGATATACAAGACCGCGCACCTTTGATCACGTGCCATTCTAAAAACCCTAATAGATGGCTCAATTTCTCTTTGAAGTCCGCCAACGAGAGCGATCCGTATATTTTGTTGTAGCTGAGGTGAATCGATGCGCAAATCGATTTAAATTGGTCGTCGGGCTTGGCGAAGAATTGAATAAGAGCCCGGGAGAGAGGGACCATTCTCGAGTCAAAATGCCAGGCGAGGAGTGAAAGCATAACCAAAGCACGATCAGTGAGTTTGCTTGCCATACAATGCGCATACTTGTTCAGTAGACTGTTTTTGGCCAAAGCTCTGCGCTTGACCCAGGACCGGTATTGGTACTTTCTGAGGGCCTGGCAGGTAGAGACCAGGGATACAATTCGAGCGTTGGGCTTGTGATACCGCCTTATTGTTCGCTTGACCTCTTTTGTGCCTAGATGCCACACTTGTTGCGCTATCAGCGTCGTTGCTGCGCTATTTCGGAGACCTGCTTTAGGGATGAGAAACTCTATCGTTCAGCATATAGCTCAGTAGAGGAAATCATTGATATCTTACGCCATTTCGAGAGATTATCGACATTTCAAAGGCGGGAGACAAAGCTATTCATTGACAAGGCATATCTTTCGGACTCTTGGGCTGGCCACCTTTTATGTGCTGGGCTGGGATGAGATGCTCTCGGGCCCTCATTATATCACAGACTAGCAAGGGGTTGCTTGACCAATCAGAAACACGACGTCCGTCCCACTTTTACTACATACACAGTCTTTCAAAAAGTCGGTATCTGCATCTTTTTGAAAAAAAGAGTAAATTTGGCGTCAGTGCGCAGTGGGGACATTCCAAGACCCTCATGGATACAATACAGCGCAGCTCTATTGGATCATTCAGACAAGCCGTCGAAGTGAGCTATTCGACCGTGTTATTTGTCATGGCAAGAAATGGTTCTAGACTACAGCTTGTATATACAAAGCCATATTCCCTGGTCATATTCCCTGGCGTAAAGCAATCTCATCCGGAAAAACTAAAATGAGAGAAACATAAGGGACCACACATCGTCTCTTGATGCAGGATAGAATGGAAAAGCCCAACGGAAATAAACGAGACTTTCCGATTGTAGTCACAATTCACATACTCACTGGGTTGGAAAGTGGAGCAGCGCAGGCGAAAGAAGGGCAGGCCCGTCAAATAACGACTGCTTTTGTGGTACCCAATAGTCGCGCGAGCACCGCCTGTGCGTCAATGGTACCAGAAATTGTATCTCAGCCCATGCAGCCATTGCTTAGTTTAAGACTAGTGAATTCTCACTCTGCCGCTGTTCTCTCGCCTGTATTAAATGCGGACCATCATCCTGAGGTTCTTTCTTGCTGGCGTGTCGCTTAAACATGGATACTAATAGTACCCCATTAAGTTTTACCGTGCCTACACCTTTCGATCCCTACTGGGCTACTCAAGAGAATGCTGGCTCTCAACCGGTACCTAGCACCCAATTTTACAGACCTCAGATATACCCTCAACAGTCAGCCAACCTCACCGATTTCCCTGTAAAAGGTCACGAAGGCCCCGACCCAGAGCTTCTGGACGGCCAAATCCAACAGCGTACGATGAGCTTTCCGTTCTTATTACGAACCAAATGCTGACATTTCACAAAAAATTCAAGAACAATGGAAGGCTCCCAGATTTCCTGGGTCAAATCCCTCGATCCCCTGGACGAACGAAAAAGGGGGCCTCAGCACTTGCAGCATTTTGCGAACCCAGCAAGTCGAGTCCTACCTCTCCTTTGAATCATACAACAGTAATACCATTGCAGCGAGCTTTGTCAGGCCTAGTCCAAACCCCACAAGCATCACTGAGATCAATATGAGGCCATGTCGTGGGGATTTACCGGCATACAGCGAGCGCCGGCAGGCCATGAATCTCAAACTTAGGCAAGTCACAGAGAGCTGAGTGAAATGCCATCCAATAATGGGCTGCGTGGTGCCCCGCTGACATTCATTTGAAGACCCCGGGCTGAAAACTTTATGCCACCAGCTCTTCCTACATTCTCGAATTCGTACTACCAGCCATCAGCTCTACCCGTGGTGTCTGATGTCGAAGAGCGCAGGTGCAACCAACCATCCCGCCTAGATCACACCAAGCCGTTAGAGGCTTACGCCCTTACCGCCATTGAAGCGACTAAGCATGCGCCCGGACAATCCTCTGGCCACTTTGACAAGACCAATGAGGAATACTCCTGCCACGTCGGCGAGTCTCACATGAATGACCACATCTTCTGTCACATTATCGATGCAAATATGACGCAAGCTGGACCTCAGGCAGACTTAAGAGGGTTCCATTTCTACCTAAAGTGGCAGCATTTCACATTTACTAACGGCATATGGAAGTAGGTAATTAGTTACCCTGCGTTGAACCGTGCTTATGTCGACAGATGGTATCCTGAATGCAGTACCCTTGTGGAACTGAAAGACCAAAAGCTTTATCGGAAATCCGGATTGATTCATGAATTGCTGGAACAGCCGTGCGTGGCGATGTGCTTAGGCGAAAACCCGACGGTTGGGTGGCCAAGGGTTATTTTCCAGGACAAGTATGTTTTCAAGCCATTAATTGAGATACTCGCCATTGACCATTCTACCGCCAGCATCAACTGCGTGTGAGTCTGCATTCTATGAATATTTTTCCATTTATTAACAAGGCGAAGAGCATTTTCGATCACAGGCGCAACAACCGGTCTTGGTGAAACTCCGGTTATACATCATGTCAAGTTCTCGCAATTCATTCCAGACATCCTTTCGAAGTTCAATCCAAATCTTCACACTACTTCGGCAGTGATAAATTATACCGAAGGTCTTGTGGTTTCTGATGCAAATACTGCGCTGCATATGGAAAGCAAAAACAATGGAAACGGTATGTAGGCCAGGGTCTCTCAAAAACACTATTAATACTATGTACTCAGAGGTACTCAGGAATTCCAAGGGGAAGCATATCGCTATAGCAAACCAAGTCATAAGGGTACTCTGTCGCCGAGTGCAGTCGCAAACGCGACCCCGGGCCCCTCGAACTTTGAAGGAACTTTATCAAGCAAGCTTCAATAGCCTGGATTCAAGAATGTGTCGTGATCTTCTTAATAAGTGGATCTCTATTATTACAAATGCTAAACGGCCACCATATGTGGAGAGACCGAGTTGGTGGCCAGAAGAAGTTAGATACACGCGTCCTCGCGAGATGAATTCCTGTGGTAAGTAAGCATGAAGCCTGTTGCTTACGCCAACTAACAGGCCAAAGAGATGAAAGCAGTTCTATTCCATCTTTTCAACGGAGAATATGATCACGCTTCCCCTAGGAAATTTTGCACTTCCTGGAGAGACATCAAGGTTACCCAAAAAGACAAAGAAACACTATCATGGGTTTTCTTTATCCAGAAAGTCTTCAAAACCGATATGAAGCCATGTGGGCGCCCATAACTGAGTTCTTATGTAGTACCACCTGAGAAGATACAGTGCTGCCTGGAATTACAACAGTCTTTCAATGGGCGCATTAAATAACCCGACGTAATGAGAGGATTCTTTATGCAAGAAGTGTATCTAAACGTTGCTTTGACCATAAGCAACACCATTATAGTGAGCAATGAAGGCGGAGGTTTCCATCTGGACGCCGCTGAATACCATAGTTTAGCAGTACATAACCTAAGGATACACCGTGATAACAGTTGAAAGGAGTCTCTGTAAAATCGCTGTGTGGACCTGCAGCCAAAGTGCTAGCCGTAGGAGGCGCCAGTCAATGTGCCGGTCAATACGACCCTTAGTGCAAGACGGGCTAAACCAAAGTCCACGGGGCTTCAAACTAGCGAGAGGAAGTAGCCAATGATGAGCAATGCATGTCCCAAATTGGTAGGCAGCTTCATTGAACAGATAACGTCTGTGGTATGTACTAGCTAAGGAGATATGGCTGAGTTTGGACGGCGAGAGAAACAGCCTTCTTACATCCAATTCAGTATTCTGTTACTAGGGTATTTCACTAGCGATGAATGCAGGCACTGCTATTCTCTCAGTCAGGGGCGAGCCCATTCTAATGTCTAGGAAAAGCAATCGCTACTTCCGGTTATCACGCGCATTGACCGGGAGGCAGGATACAAATTCATCTACTCGTCCAGCCTCCTTCACAAATTACTTACAGGTAACTGTCCTTCACAGTCTTCTTGGGCACACAAATTCAGGCTAACTCAATTTTCTGGTAGCATGTATTACGATAAAATCCCCGTCAGCTTCAGCACAGGCGCTCCCTTCATGGAAGTCCCCACCAACCCCTGCAGTCCAACCCACACTTCGTTAGATAGATCCAGTCCTAATGTCAATCTCGCAACAACAAGTAATGTTCATCTGGGATTTGGGCAGTCGAGCGTCAATCAGACTGCCAAAATCAAAGTTTAATTCGTCTACGCTAGCTTCCAATAGAAATACGAACATGAGGTCATATGTAGTTAGAGGCACTCACTAATGCAATGCCCTGTGACCGAGAAGAAGCGCCAATCTCTCCCCCCAATTGTCAATTATAAAGACCCATCCTACAGTACTCCCCGGCAACGTGAAAACATCAATTCCATTATTACCATTGTTGATATACTGTTTATTGCTAAGCAATACCCTGAGATTTTCCTTTCCTCATATACTAGGGGAATCCCACTTCTCCACTCAAAAGCCTCCACTCCGGATCAACATGGGCACTAGAGATCAGCTCTCATTTGGTCAGATCAGTTACCCAAGCTCATATACCTCCCCGCAATATATTCCGATATACCCTCCGGTAGTGGACACCAGGTTCCTTGAGACTAGTTTTCACGACTTCGACTACGAACAACCTCCTCCAGCACCCTTTTTGGCAGCACCACGCGCGGTCTCTCCCTCTCCCCCACCCTCGTCCCCCAAATATCGCGCCATCCGACCTCGACCTAAGAAAGACCGCCCTGAAACCAACGATTTCGATGACACGTTACGATTAAAGCCTCGGAAGCGCCGAAAGAGCCGACGGCTGCCACAAGAGAGAAGCGACGAGTCAAAGGTCGCCCAACCAGAATTGGACGTCAACATAGCTTCTTCAGCTAGAGCCGGAAGCGAGAGGTTTGGATTGCGAAATTTCTGTTACTTGAACAAACCCCAAGCTGACCCAAAGGCCGTACAATGCAGTTCCGCGCCCTTCAGCCAATATACGGATTCCGATATTTGCTCGAGCGGTCACGAGCCAACCTTCGCGTCTTGTCCTCCTTCATCTTCAAAGGACTTTGCAAGTCCAAAGTGGAATGGATTGCAGCCTCTACTCAGCGATGCTTCTGAAGCGCTTGTCACCGACCGGCCAGTCTATCCCCACGATGTGCGCCGCTCACTTATTTCACCAGATATCCATGCTCCATTGCCGAGTGGATTCCTTGAGCTCAGCCAGAACCAAGATTCTAAGGAAGCAGATTTTGTTGGACTTGCAGCGCATCTTGAAAAGATACAAGTTCTGCAGTCATTGGCCATTGTGCAGGATTATATGGCGAAGCATCCTTCTCTATTTGAAGTACAAGCTCCCCAAATGATCCGGAGATGGACGGCAGACATTGAAGCCCTGAGTACGCCAGGTTCTTTGTCCAAATGAGCAAGTTACATGTGCTATCGATTTTGGTCCCATGGAGGAAATACAGATTACCAAAGAAGGGAATGATCTTCTTCGTCAGTCAGAGGTTGGCTTGGGTATCGATACCACATTATCGCCATAATATGCTGCTTCAAACGTTCATGACACATAAACACAACACAACATCAACTGTATACCAGATCAGATGGGACTTTTCAGCAGACAGATATATGAGCACCATTGACCTTATTCTACATTAGATCCCCCTCTTTCCCACGACGAACATGATATCATTCTCCTGGCTTCACGAGACAGACGGCGATGGCATATGAATGATATGGCCGACCTTCTTGAATAAAGTTTCTTTGGTTCTGCGTGGTACCCAGCATCAATAAAACATATAACCACGGTCTGGCCTTTTCTTGATGTTTCCAGTAACAAAGTCCATGTCAAAAGCGGAACTCATTCCATCCAAGGGTACCAAACATTCGTACAAGATTTGATGAAATCCTTATCGGTCAAGAAAGCATTAGCGTCCTTGAATCGGTCTCGGTAGTTCGGCAGGTTCTTCCATTTGGTGAAACGATTGATTTTTTTCTGAATCCCGGCATAGGCATAAGGCTTGGCAGTAAGACGTTGACGGTTCGGGAATCGGCTGTTGAAGTTCTTGAGGACAGTGGCCCAGCTTTTCTGGAGAACAACGCGCTGGTGCCAGGTGTAATAGCATTCTTCTTTAGAGTATCTCTTACGATGCGCGGGCAGGACGGGTGCGCATTCAGTGTCGTGGTCGACGCTTGTTGGTTCGGTAACGGTAGGTGACAATTCTAGCATTTGCACATATGGTCTTTTGGAGGGGTGACAATGTCGCTGCAACATGGAGGTCGGTTGGGCTTCATTTTCCAGGCGGCTGGATTGTTGCGTGATTTGTGGTAGATCCACTGAATAATGTTGTGAGTACTGGGGCGTGGGCGCCCCCTGATCATTCAACAACGAACTGACCCTCATTGGGTCTGGATTTGAGCGCTGTTGCATGAACGGTACATTAACTGCCATTTCCCCTTCAATGATCTAGCGAAAGGAAATAGAGAATAATGCAAGAGAAAAGGCTCGTTCATGAATCGGCCGTACTGCGTGTTGGGCATGCTACTGCAGTATACTCAGCCGCAATCTGAAACTGGTCTGCACCAATAGAGATATATCTAATTTTCAAAACAAAACTAAAGAAACTAGGCTGGATTAGTTCAATCAGGCCCATGCCTCCCATGAGAAGTCCACATCTTGGCATACGGTACAGGGGTTGTTCCCAGGAACCATCTAGATCGTCGATTATGACCTTTCACAAATAGACTTACTATTAGACTATTACGTGTCTAAAGGTGGGACCGACTACTCCAGACTGGCCCTGTACGAATTAGTGTGAGGCAAATTAGGGGCCCAGAGCAGATTCAACCAAGCCGCTCCTCGTGTTTCGCTTCGGCTCCTCTTAGTGGTAATCTGCTACTTCCAACCTACCCTCCCTGATTTCCAGGAACCAGTTCCGATTACCTCTTACTTTAACCTAACTGTGAGATTTTCCCTAATATTCGAACTGATGCTACAGAGTCTGACCCTCACAGAGTCGTATAGTGGTTTTCTCGCTGCTGTTCACTTTGTCCACGATATTGACTAGTACTGGTCAATACTAGGTAAAGGCTACACTATTTGCCTTGGAGTTCTCTATGCTAAATCAGACAGCAGGATATCGCAAGACTCGGTTGGGTTGGGTTGTTTGTCTACTCCAACGGACATCGTACCGTACAGGCCGGGACCAATCACTTCATCGTCTTTCACCTCATCTTTCGAATCCCTCTCAATTTCCAGTGGAATAGTAAGCGGTCAACTCAAAACAAAGGGCTCTTTCGCGGGCGACATACCCCAAGGCGCACCCTGGGACCTGACGGAGTCGCCGAGCAAGTTGACTCGAGACATGACGGATATCCCAATCCTGGATATAGACTCATGGGTGAGGCGACCGGTTGAAGAGCGCCATAGAGAGACCGAGCAGAAAGGGAGGGTTCGGCGGCCTATGAACTCCTTCATGCTGTATCGGTGGGCCAATACAGAAAGCATCAAAAGACAATCACACCGGCACAACCCTCGAGCAATCTCCTCTATTGCGGGAAAGTGCTGGAGAAACGAACCACAGAGCGTCCGCGACAAATACAGTCGATTAGCCGAGATTGAGCGCGATGGTCATGCCGAAGCGCATCCAAACTACAAATTCAAAAGGAAGGCGCGAAAAAGGCGATCTGCTACCAAGCCCGTGGCACATCGTGATAGTCCTGAAATTTCCGAGCATAACAGCGGTGACTGTCCTTTGGTCCAGGACTTTGAAATGGGTATCCAAAGCCCTATCAATTATCTCCGCTTAGGGTCTCATCCCGAAGGCATTCTGGAAGACCTCGTTGCTCCTATGGGAGGTGATTTCCAAGGAAGCTATTCCAGTGGCTTTTTTGCGCTTCCTGATGAAGCGCACCACCACTTGCTGTGTCTTGAGCCGATCAACCCCACGACCAGCATCTTCATAGATGGGAGCTACATGGAACCTCAGTGGCAAGAAAGCCTGTGGCAAGAAACCGTATGGCTCGTTTAGCATGAGGAGTTGCGATTTAGTAGTCGTCTGCGGCTAAAATATTGCACGGGTTTGGCTTCTGTCGAAGAAATCTGGCAAAAACAGGCAGGCGATCTAAATTTGTGAGCTGGTGTGTGTGCTATTGACGTATTTACTAGCGCCCAAGCCAATGTATAGCATGATTTAAATTCAGCAAATGTCAAGTAATTCATGTGAAACTATATTTGCGTGATGCATTCCCTGAAAAACCGAGTAAACAGCACAGTTGTTATGTGATTGCTCAAGCGTTTTTACATACTAGGTAGCCTTTTCCTGCTATTTTTGCGTATCTAAATGTCAGGTAAATAGATGAGACTTGCTTTGCAAAGCCCAAAGGTTAGTGTGCCATAAAATTCGTACGACGCTCAATGACTGTAAAAGTGGGGTCTGTTTACGCTTCCTGTAAGATCAATCAAGGCTGTTTGTTTCGGCTGATATGGTTAATCTTCAACATTTAGTATAGACCTCTTGGTGCAGATACTATTTGCAGGCCGTAGAATATAGTGAGTTCACTTTTACAACTAGTTTGCAGATGCAGACAGAAGTTTCTGTCACTATGGCCTGTGTTATATGTACATTCATACGGTGGCAGTAAGGTAAGAAATAAAACAAGTGAAAGAGGAAAAAGAGGAAAGAGAACGTAAATCGATGCATACGCATAGTGACCGGGCAACCAGGGAAGAAGAAATAATGACTGAGAGTTGAAAACTGGCATCATCCAAACCATGCAATATCTAATTAAATTGAGGAATTGAGGTGAGGCCCTACTATCGAAGTAGAGGATGTTAGGCCATGTGTGATAGTCGGGAAATATAAGGGCTAGACAGCACATGCGACTATCTATGAAGAGGCTCATCCGCACGTTGGTGATACATTTGCTGCCCCCACGATGGGAGAAGAGGGCCCTGGTACCGCTCGGCACCGCGTCCCTGCAACTCATGAAGGGGATAGTGAGGAAGACTCGTAGGGCTGCTCTGGAAGGATGATGAGGCTGATATTGGAACGACTGCTTCGGACTTCATGTCAGGACTGCCGGGAACCACGAGTATAGAGTATGAACGAACCGCCTGTGTGAGCCCTCCCCGGCACTCTGCTAGTTTGCGAAAGCATAGATTGTGAATCGGGCGTGCAGAAATGAGGTGGTCGAGGGTTTGAAACTTGAGAGTTGGACAGGCAATTTGGGACTGAGTTTTGTATGGAAGTGGGCTGGTTGTTCTGCAAATTTGGGCTCGTTCCCACCTGTGCGTACTCTGAGGTAAGTTGGTTGGGGCGTCCCCTTCCACCTGCAAGCGCGAATAAAAACAGTCAGTGTGGGAAGCAAGGACAGATAAAGGAAGTACGGGGAAGAAAAAGGCCCAGTGACACATAGATCTGATACGCTTCAAAGGGCCAAGTGACTATAGCGAACTCTGCATTAGATGAGGAGAGCTTACTCTGAGGCCCGTCTTTCCGTGACGTATTTTGGTCATCTCTTCTCTGCTCGACAATCTTTTCCATTGAAGCTTGCTGGCTTCCTTGCCTATCAGGTAGAGCGCCTCGCTCACTGGTCTCCATCTGAACAAGCAGATTCATTTCGCTTACGTTTGGATTAGTGGGATGGACGTTACCGCCATTAATTGCTGTGAATCTGGCCGGAGGTTTTGGCGTGATCTCAACTCGATGGCGCCGATTGCCCGACGTGGGTGTATCTTCAACATTCTCCGAAGGAGTTGAAAGCACCAGCTGTTCGGAAGCGCATTCGGAGGCAACAGCAGCTGGTGGATTTTGATCCACTGCTTCTTCACCGTCATGCAATGGTGGAGGACTGTTGCGAGAAAGTCTCTCTGTGTTGTCCAGAACCTGCAGCTGATTAAGCTGTCGCGATCGAGGTCGCTGCAAGGGTGGATGCCTGAGTGTATTCTCATTGCTCGGTACTGTTATGGTATGGGATGGATCCAAGTTGGGAGTGTCGGATCCAGTGATGGCGTTGGGCCATCGTGGTACCCGCATAGTATCTAGAACGGGAGGGACAACCGGAGCTAGTTGAGCTGGAGTGGGGGCTGAGGTTACCTCCTTATGGCGAGAATCTGCCTTTCTTTTTTTGCGGCAAGCTGTAACAATAGCAGAGGAAGTTCGATAGTGTCCAAAGTCTCCCAGAAACTCAACTTCAAGTCTTTCCTTTGGTAGGTTTTTCCGTTTCATGAGCCAATCTGGTAAACGGTTCAGGTCCTTATCGTTCCATGGGCGATGGGAACGCGCCGCCTGTGCTTGTGATTTCTCATGAAAATATCTTATAATCAATTCCTTTAAAGCTCTTTCAGAGATATTGGCGGTTAGCCCATCCATTCCGCTGTTCTGAGGAAGTTCAGTCGCGTTGCCAGTAGATCTTGCTTCAGGAACTTGGAAGGGCGTCGGTGCCCTGGGAACAGGCAACGCGCCCAGTCCACTTTCTGTATGTTTTTCATTATTGGAACCCTCATTTGCTGTGCCTCTATCCAATGGAATCTCACGGGGTGAAAATTGCGGAGAGAGTCTCTCTGGTGATTGGTCGCAATGCGCCGTGTCCGTCTGATCCACGTCCATTGCACTGGACTCAGTACCATGGACAAGCGTTTGTCCCATCTCTTCGTGTGTGGTATCGCCTTCAGAGTGGTGCCGAATAGGATATTGGATAGGTTCTGATATCCGAGGGGATCCCAAGGGAGAGCCACGCGGCAAGTAAGAATCAACCGTCCCTGGTATTGCAGCGAGGATATTGATTGAAGTATCATTGCTTGGCTGACTTTCACGAGCCATATCTGAGGACGCTGGATAGGCTTTGGGCGATTCTTCAGCACGAGGGCTTCCTCGGACTGGCCGTTCATTTTGACTTGTACCTGACGGAAATTCATGCTCCTGAGATGCGTACCGGCAGCTTGACGTTTGATTCGCAGTATCCTGTTCAATTACTGCATGGGAGTCGCTGGATTCTGATTCGGGGTCAACCGGTTGAACGTCATGAATGGCATAAAAGCTTGCATCCTCGCAGTCGTCAGAATTCAGATAGGGTAGCAGGTTCGGGGCTAGACGTAACGCGTGGACCTCGATGTTCAAACTCGAGATCAGTTTTTGGGTCAAGTCCACCGATCCAAAGGGCTGAGGAAGCGGTGGGGAGGATCGAGGTGTCAAAGACACAGGTTCTTTGCGCGAAGTCTTCTTATTGCGCTTCCTAAAAGGACTTTTTCCTGTCAAGAAATACACTTTTGCCTCAATAGCATGGAAAGTGCGTTTTTGCTTGAATTTTCCGTTGAACTTTTGGGCAATCTCTTCCTGAGACAGATTTTGCCGTACTTGGTCTTCGAACCATAGAGGAAGCTGCTTCAGCACCTCTGCAGGCCAAGCCCTGTTTTTGGCGACTGGTACATCCAAATTATTAGTACTTCTTCAACCACTTCAATTTCAATGCCAAGTTTATTACGCGCATTACTTACAGTTCCGCGTTCCAGCACCGCGTTTTGAAGCACTGGCTTGCATGTCTGTTCTTTGAGTCTCGATAGCCATTCCATTGAGAGAATCTGTGTCAACCTGCGCTTGCGTAAATTGCGCTGGTCCTTCGGCTGACTCCAGGGGGAAGGGCGAGCCCCTCGATCTTTGACTTGGCTCCGAATTGCGGCGGAGAATTCGATCTCTTCTTAGTATTTCTTCAAGCACGGTATTATTGACTTTGATGACTGCGGGGGGATGTAAGCGAGTGGACAGGATAAAGATAATGATTGAGTTTGCTTACTTTCCGATGCAAGTTCATTCATTAGTGATGTCATTTCAGCTGCCAGCGCCAAGGTGTTTAATTCCGTCTGTACGTCCTTTTCGTAGGACCATGGTTGAACCAGCTTCCGGGGTAATCCTGAAAGGATCATGTTGTGTTGGAAAGCAGACAACTGGACAATCGCGCCCCGGTCCCGCATATGGAAATGGTAGATCCCATTTCCTTTATATTCGGCCTGATAATCACTCTCCTTGATAACGTCCAGCCAATGGATATTGGCATTGACTTCGTCGTTCCGTAGCTGAAGCACACGAGGTCTCGCTGCTTCAAACATCACTTCTATTGTCTTCACTAGGGCGTCGCTCATGAGGGGAACGTTCAAGAAACCAGCAAAGCTCTCGCGCCCCGCCAGTGCCCTGAAATGAGACCGAGAGTGCTGAAGAACCGAAGACAGCTTGTCTTGAAAAGGCTTAAAATGCGCAGAATACACGTTCCTCATTTCGGGAAGACACTCAAGCATGCACTCATCATCTGTAACGTCGTGGCCAGAGCCTTCAACTGTGACAGCGTTGGAATCCATCTAGAACGTGACTCGATCTGAAGAAAAATAGTTAGGAACCGGTGGGCACATAGAATAAGAACACAATACCAAAGACTGCCGTTTATTTGAGGACAAACATGGCAATGTGACACCGTCTCATGAAAAGGAGAGTGTAAAATCTAAGATGCTAGGCAAAGGTCCCAACAGCGCTAGTTATAAATCCATTCGTTGTCACGTGTGTGGATATCCAGATAACTTATCATTCGCCCGCTGGGTTATATTACCACCGCATTCATCTGGATTTTGTTCGCTTTGTGGATCGTGTTCAAGCTTAGATAATGACTAGTCGGCCATATTCCTGCGTTCCTAAAATGATGCTTTGGCCAGAGTAAAAGTTTACTCTTTGCGGGAAGCACGAATCCGGATCTGACCCGTTTGAAGCGGAGTACAATACTCGTACTGCGTCCAAACCATTATCAACGTATAAATTTTAATGCAGGTGATTTTCTTCCGTGATCTTGCCTCCATCTCGGAGAGGGGCGTGGGAAATTTCTGATTGGGCGGGGAATCGAGACAATGGGTCCGCCCCCAACTACCCGTTGTGCTTTCGGTTCAAATCAAACCGGGATAAATACAGAGCATAGCCAATAGGAAACTACGTGACCGCTAAATGTGATAGTGAAAATCCGAATTTTCATGCGGCAGTGACGGCCGCATTTGGATACAGAAGTTGCAGATCATATCAGCGGCTGATTCCGTCATTTATTCCATGGTTCATGCGTGTGAGACAAGCCCGTGCGGTTGATCGCCAGAGCCAGATAATCCCACGGTCCTCTCCGGTTTGACTGCGTGCTTTGTTAACCCGTACAATTTGGTCGCGAATCCTTGAGGATGAAGAAGAGCTGCATACCGCAGATTTCCGCGGGATATGAACGAAAGCTTGTCGCAATTTGACAGCATTCCTACATGTACCGGGCAATGTCTCTTCTTTTTCTACGCTATGACCCGGTTAGTAATTTATCGCTAGTTCAGATCCTGACCGTTGTTCTTGACCACTCCACCCGACCGCTCTGTTTAACACTTTGCTTAACCGTTCTGTTTAACCCCTTAGTTGAACCACCTTGCTTAACCGCTCTGCTTGACCGCTCTGCTTAACCGCTCTGCTTAACCACTTAGTTGAACCACCTTGCTTAACCGCTCTGCTTGACCGCTCTGCTTAACCGCTGTGCTTAACCACCCTTTTGCTAGAATCAAGATCGCAATCTACCTACCAATCGTAATCAATGCGTCGAGCTGACTTGGCATACACCACATCTCGTGGGGACATATCCTTCTTAAGAGCCCTTTTCTCTATAAGTACTTCAGACATGGATCAAAATCCAGTAAAAGTGATGCAGTACACAGAAGATTCCTTTCAATGGCATATACCAGGGGGCTGCCTGCGTTGATCTTGCCAATTGATATCCGCTCTCTTATCGACAAGAAGTGTGCGGATAATTGTCTCGTTCTTGATCCGAATTGCATAAAAGATTGGTGTGCGATATTTACCGTCTGTAGTGTTGGCGTCCGTTCGGTAGTCGTCCAACATCATCTTTACAAATTCCGATTTGCCTCTGCGGACTCCCCAAAACAAGGCAGAGCTGCTTTGGTGTCGGACGTTGACCCTGTACAGTTAGTCGAGGAAAAGATCATTCCCTGCTTGATTAAGACAAGCCAGCGCAAGCAAATCTCTGGCTTGATCCAGGCTGTCCGCTATTAATTTTGCTAACCATGTATTCGGCTTCAAGTGATAGAGACCCGCCGTACTTAAAGTTCACCGTTCTCCTGAGAAGCTTAGAGCAATCTAACTGGCTGATATCAGGTCAATTGGTACTTTACTTTTAATTTATCTAGTGGTTCAGCCCGTTTTGAATCACGCATTGTCTACTTACCACAAAGTCGAACACTCGGAGAAAACTCGGATCGAACGAGATTGAGATTCTGGTTCCAGAGTCGTCCAAGTCTCCTACAATATAGTCTAGAAATCCCAAGAACACAATAACGAAGAACACAAGAAAAAGAAAACTATTGCCCCATTGAAAGAACCCACTGCAGGATGCCATTCCATGTTGGACTTTAGAGAATAGCAAAGCCCTCACAACGAGGATATCCCATAAAAGCACAAAATAGAGGCGTTCACCGCCAGATCACACGTCGATGGAAAGACATAACAGCGAAAGGAAAAACCAAGGGAAAAAAGCTAACAATGCCTCTCCCGGAATAGTGTACACAAAATGGGAGAGCGTCATTGGGTAAAGAGAACTCATAGCCTCTATTTCTTGGTGGCACGCTTCTTGGTCGCGGCCTTGTGTGTCGGGGGAGCAGTAGTCTTGGTGACGCGGCCGGACTTGGTCTTGCTGACGACCTTGGGCTTCTCTACGATGGCGGGGGCCTGAATTTTGGTAAGTCTCGGTCTGATGGGAGTGTTGGACTGAAACATACCATGGTTGAGGTCTTGCGGGCCTTGCCAGAGGTACCCTTGGGTTTCGCAGCAGCCTTCTTGGCAGCCATCTTTGGCGCGGCCTTGGTCGCGGTCTTTTTAGGAGCAGCTTTAGTGGTAGTTTTCTTGGGGGCATCCCTCTATGAGTATTGTAAGCGACGAGCAGTGAACCCAAGTCGCGACGGTGACGTACTTTGGTAGCAGTTCTCTTGGTTGTAGCCTTTGCCAGATGCTTAGCAGCGGGCTCTGCAACAGGCTTGACAACCGCGTCCTTCTTAGCTAGCTTCACCGGGCCAGAGGGTCCTATGGCACGACGCGTCAGCGAACCATCACAAAACAGAACAGCGATAAAATATTTCTGCTCTTGAATGCCGTGGCAGTGGGAGAAAGCAGAATGGCGACAAGAAAAAGCGACGTTGCGCGCGAAAACAAGGAAACGGAAAACTTACCTTTGGGCTGGGTGAACTCGCCCTTCTCAACGCTAGTCTTTATAGCCTTGTTGAACTGGGCATCAAAAGCGCTCTGAGACGCGAAGGTGACCTTGTTGTTGGAAATGACATACTTCTTAATGGCCTGGCGGCTGAAAAGCAAAAAGCGTTAGTGCGTGGTTGCGATCGAGAGAACATGACATCCGTCAGGGCGCCCAGGAGGGAAAACCACAAATACATACCTGGAACCATTGCGCTCTTTCAGCTACGGGCGAAAGAACAAGTCAGTAATGAACAGAAAAAATAAAAATAAAAACCCATCCCAGTTGATTTGGTGGTCCTCCATCCTCAACGGGCAAACGAGACACGGTCGGGCGCGCACGACCCGAATCAAAACAAGCCCGATGCCGACGGTGATCTACTCACGTTGGCAATGGCGTCCTTGATCATTTCTACATGATTGGAATCAGCAGACGTTCGCGACAATGGCGATGTACATCTCATTTTGCGCGATGAGATGGTGGTTCAGGATCATAGGAAACATACCGCGGTATGAAGGGTGAGCAACGGGCGCCGCCTTCTTGGACGCGTTGGTTGCTTTCTTGGGAGGCATGGTGATGGGATATGAGAGATATGGATTGAAGGATGGAACCAAGAGATGAAGATCCTAGAGGACTCGAGGGATGAAGTTGGGGAAAGGTGGAAGAACCAGCAAGTGGAAGGGGTTGGGAGGTGTCGGTGGTGCATCCATGATTTAGACGTTGCCGGTGTTGTGATTTAGACGTTGCCAGTGTTGAGACAAGACCACTTCCGTGCTCTAGGATATCCCCTTCCTACTTTTGGGGCTCTTTGTTTTACTAGGTTGATATGTTTTCGTTCTAATGTGTTTATGTTGTCTATACCTGATTCCCACAGTGGGTTGTTGTCCCGCTCTTCTGTATAACTCGCCAGTGTAGCGTTCAAACACCTCAGACCCGCCGAGTTGTCCCACCTTGTGGAGGCTTTTCATACGTCAACTTTTGGCGAAAATTCAGAGAGGCTCAACTCCAACATGGGCATACTTTGCTGACGAGCCGGTTGTGGGATACGTGATCCAGTATACCACATACCACTTCAGCTGGGAGGTAATGACAGCCATACGATTGCGTCTCGTACTCGTAGGTCTTCGTGCCTGTGATAGGTTCTGGGGCTTCAGTCAAGCATGATCCAATACCGTTGCTCTATCCTTTCCTGACACCCTGTTTGTCAAGTCATCAAGGCGGTGTCTCGGAGTGGAAAGGTAGGCCTCTGACGTCGATACTAATGGCAGGCGTGGAATTCCAATACGTGGTTTGGGGGCGTGTGAGGGGGTGGGAAGCGGATTTGTTGCGTTTTAGGATCTATTTGTTACATTGCACGGTAGATTAATAGTTTGTGAAAGCGAGGTAGTATCCTATGCTGATAGCATTGAGCCATGTCATTTTCTCATGAAAAGACACTTTAATACGAGGCATTGCTAAAGCTGAAGCTGCGGCATTAGGATCGGGATAGTAGGGATTAAATGTTGTTATCGTAAATGGCCTGCTGATTACACCGGGCAGAACTACAAAGGACTTCCTAAGTTCCCAACAATCCAAAGGTCAAGCGGTAACAAAGCAAGAGTGGATGAGACGATAGAGACATTGAAGGTTCCCTTCCTAATCTTCGATAAGAGGTGGAACATACAAGACAGAAATAGGAAGTTAAGTCAATCGCATTAACTGAATGCAAGTATCTATCGAATTGCCCATGTTCATCCAACATGTCTACATCCGGCACAGTCCATGCCTCAACACGTACGACGCCCGCTCGGACTCGGACAGGGAGAAGCATTACAATAAGGACCAGGCGGATGGCGACCCCTCAGTGTATTAGTGGGCAAGGCACCCTCAATCCCTGCTCTAAAAGCGCCCTCCCATCCGGCGCTAGCCGATCAACCTCCGCATCAGCAGGCAACGTCCCAACATAAGCATTGAAATTGTATATACCACAGATGCAACCGTCGACAATATCCCTTAGACTAGTCCCAGACAACTCATCGACCATCTTCCCATCCCTCTCGACATGGAACGACTGGGCGCCCACGCTCATTGGCACCGTCCACGCTCGTATCCCTCTCGGTGCATAAAACGTCTGTATGTTCATGCCCGACGTCACCGCCACTAACGCTGGCTGCTTTAGCTGCGTGACCACGAAGACGGAGTCTTGCATTGTGTCTGCGCCATCTGGGCGGCCGCAGGTAGCGACGAAGCTATCACCGCCGTTGTCGGCGCTTCGTATGGTTGTGTCCGTCGCATCGCAGTCCGTTGATTTGGGGGTTGGCCGATACCAGTATATTAGTTTCTCTTCCTCGAGGTAGTTTGATGGGAGCGTGGAGCTAGCTTTGTAGGCTGATATGAAGGGTTTAGCCATGTCTAACCAGCCATTGTGTGGCCTATTCCTTGTCAGTGCTTTGCTCGAATAGCCTTGTTTGGGATTAATTCTTTACATGTCCGTCACCCATTTTGACGAGCCGTCGTCGGTGTGAGGTGATGAGAGTGGTCCAATGTAGTGCGACTCGCCATAGTCGTTCCAGGTGATAATCTCCACGAAACGGGGCTTGGTGGTGAGGATTTCTCTCCATCGGTCGTACCAGAGGAGGTTGGAAGGGAAGACCCGGTTCTTGTTGTAGTAGACGCCGTCGCCAAAATGCGTCGAGAACCAGGGGGAGACGGCTGTTAGTCAGTAAATATCTCTGAAGTGTGATGCAGACAGTCACTTACGAGCAATGTAAGGCTTCCCGCCAAGCGCCACCTTGTACGCCGTATCACCTTCGATAACAGACACCTTCCGCTCAGCAGTCGGGGCCCTGTTATACCCGTCACTTTCCCACGCCATCCAGTTCAAGGCACCATCAACATCATTAAAATTACCCTGTCCTAGGTGGTAATTAGGCGCTAAAAAAATATCGCCGCCTGCAGCGGATCTCATTTCGCTGCAATAGATCCCGTCGCCAGAAAAGGATGACACAAATACTTTGCCATCGACCCTGAGCTGTGCAGAGTGATCTGAAAACTGCCTGATCTTGGCACCAATCTCACTGCTTTGGTTGACATTGTACCAGTTGAAGTCGAAGGAGATGAACACCTTCATATTATGGTCGGCGGCAGATTGATAGGCAAACTTCAGCTGGGTATCGGTGTACAGATCATTGCCAATATTCAGGGCAAATGCATCAATTCCAGCTTCTTTGGCGCGTCTCATATCGGCATCATAATCGCTGGCACTTTGGCGATTACTCACGACTCCAATCTAGATATCATTAGTAGTTACAGGAAAGGGAAAAAACGGCAATGTCTCACCATGAAATGACAGAAAACCAGTCTGTCCCCTGTATTGGAATTGGTACCGCCAATGGACGTAACGTTCATAAACTCTACCGAAGTAGGTGAAGCAGTAATGAAAGGAAGTAGCCCTATCACGGCCAGAAAGATGAAGCGGAACATCGGGGATTTAATCCCCAAGCACCGGTCAAGGCTGCTGTGACGCAAGATAAATAACTGAACGAGGAATGTATTTCTGAGTCAAGAAGTAAACCGCGAGTTGATGCAAAAAAAAAAAAAAAAAAAAAAAAAAAAAAAAGACAGAATTAAGAAAAAATTGCAAGGGATCAGGATCTTGATATACGTATTTCCTGTCTTGTGTGACAATGTGGTAGTGCGCCTCCGTTCACACCGCCTTGTTTTTGATCATGTACCCTTTATATGTGCCTACAAAGCACAATTCAAAACCCACAAATGACAATGCACCATTATCTTATACACATCGTTGAGACCCTACTGCCCACGCGCCGGAATTGATATGACTACTACAGAGTTCCTTGTTAGATGGGAACCTCGATGCTTAGAATCCGGGAATGTGAGTACAAGATCTAGATTGTACGTTACCTCGACTTTTCTAAATCTAAATTGGGGCCCTCAGATACAGAGGGTTTGTAAATAGTCCGGTGGCTAAATCTGGGCATGCTATTGGTTGATCGACGCCTCGTTTGGTCAGCGGCTAATTTGGGGAACTGGCGTGTTTACTTGAAACTATAGGGTTGTTCTGAGCGTTGCGGTTGTAGATAGATTCAGCGAAACAGTCCAACCCAGTCTAGCCTAATATCTTGTCTGGGGTCTCGCAGATGGTTGACATCTTGATATCAATCCAGACCAAGTCGGCCGAAGGTGTCTCAGAGGTTGTCTCCGGCTCTGCAGGTTGGTTATGACTTGTATCCGGATATAGCTGCTATTTCCCGCAGCGGTGATGATTTATACTGTAAATTGACCTGCAATATCTCGATCGCGAGAAATGCTGGCTACGGAGATGCAGGGCTCGGCGACAACCATGCGAGAACTAAGCTTCCCTCATAAATGAGCTCTTTACAACTGGTCAAGAAGTTGGATTTTTAGAGATATCCGATGAATACTGCCATTATGTTGGCCCGAATGAATAGCTGCAGCGAAAGTGGCAGGATCTTTAACCATAGAATTGAGGGTGGCAGGACAGGCGGCGTTAGCCAGCTTTGCTAGGTCAACATTTAAGAAGAAAACTTTTAGATCGAGCGGATCCATTGATTTATTATTCCGACATGACACGCAAGTTGCTGTGTCAGTTACTGCGGGATAGACAGGGATGAGCCGGTGGTCAACCTGAGAAAAAGCTATCTTGGACCGCCACGTAGATGATGGCGGCCGAACAGGGCACAATTATTCAAAGCACGATCAAATGAGCTGGACATCCTTCTCAACCTCTCTCTCTTAACCGTCCTTAACCGTCCTTTGTAAAATCCATTGGTTAATGCCATTGGTTATCTTTTAGCGACAGCTTTTTGGATATTCTGTTCAGGTTTTACCCAGCCTAATGGCAACCTTGTTACCAGCCAAGGTAAGAAAGCTGCCGCCGCTGGCGGTAAAGCTAGCTGCGAAAGAGTGCACAATTATTCCTCAAAGTACTTTCCCTAACAGTCATTTACTTCGGGAAGGACGGGAAGTACATGGACAGCGGGGCTCTGCCAATGTGAACCATGGAGCTGCTGGTGCCCTGTGCGCGGCGGATACTAGAAGTAATATCATTGTTGTACATGGACTAGCGATATATCCCGTCGTAACGCTACGCCATGGGTTAGCAACTATGTCTAGGTTCAGATATGCCGTACTTGGGACAGCATGGGAATCACGCTACGTTTTCTTCCACGACCAGCGTAGTGCACCGTAGATTTGTCTCAAACTGGCCCTCCCGTGAAAAGCCAGGACCTCATTGTCAATATTATTAGACAAATACATTGAAGCGTGCCAGGTGGATAGGGTTATGTCATTGAGTTGTATGCAGAAGGATTAAGTGTTGAGGATCACAAGATCGCAACTTTCCGTGACCCCTTCGTAGCAGCTACCATACGACGTACAAATTTCCGGAGGTATGAAACACGTCGCGAGGAATTGGATCTCAGAGTATGTGGCAGTCGGATCGTAGAACCTATCGAACCATTAGCTCTCCTGGCCCATCGCCAAAGCTGCCATTATATCTTACCTGGTAGTCTCTCGTTTGCACTGGCCGAGTCATCTGTCAAGCGGCGGCGTTCTGAAATGGCCAGCTGCTCCAGAGCATGGATCAAATCGCGAGTTTTTCTGCGGGAGCCTCTAGGTGCGAAGATTGGAAGAGACGGCAAGCAAGATCCCCGAGCTTCTATGTGTCGGACTCGTGGCGGAAGTGCCCCCGAGCTTGAGGTCTCAGACACACTTTCCTGCATGGATTGAAGGTTCCGTAAGAGGTAGTTCTGTTTGCATCTCAATGCCTCGCCCGTCCGTTCCACGCCGAACTGCCTGAAGTATGCCCTGGATCTTTCCTTCCAAGACATCCCTCGGTGCTGATGCAGCCAGAAAATCAGGTTGCTTTTTTCCCATGAAGACCAGGCGATTTTGTCGGGTTTAGGAAACTTAGTTCTAGACATCTTGGTGACGACCACTGAACAAGGACGGCAGTGAAAGAAGAGTTATTGCAAAGATCAGATGCAATAAGAATTGTGAAAGGAATTCGGTCGAATTTCGGCGGTTACAGGTTTATCAAGGATGGGAAAGCTCCACAGCGGCCTTGTTGAATTACGGTCTCAACGGTGGTTGTGGGCTTATCGTACAATACCCTATTGGTCTCCCTTAGATGCATCCTCGGGGTCGGTCTTTGGCTTCTGATGCCGAGGGAGAACGGTGACTGCGAAAGCGAATAGAGTTGTAGAATGTTGCCGCCCAGCAATTTCGTAGGCTGTTCAAATTGGCGGAGGTAGCCTGCAGTTTTGTGAGGTCAACGTGGTGGTCTTTCACTATACTTCACCGGTTGAGAAAACGGTCGATGTCCGTGGTCAATTGTCGCCTTGGGAATAATTATCAGGTCCAGTCATATTTCGGTTGTAATTTCGGTCATGGGCACAGGCCTCTTCCAAATAGGCTATGGCTTTTCACGATGATCTGCGTGTAAAGTGAAGTCTTCCAGGATAAAATAATAAATATACGAAATGAATATTAGTTTTAATATGAACGAGAAAGTTTAAAGGAACAATAGTATATGAATAAAATCTAGTAGGATAAAAGGAAGATAAAAGAGAACAATAAAATATAAAATATAACGATAAATTTGCATCTGGTGGGGCGTGAGACTTGGGGAAAGCATAGGCCATATTCAACGGCCATGACACCTGATGAGAATCCCTTCCCTTTTTTTTTTTTTTTTTTTTTTTCCCTCTTTGAGGTATACTCGGAGATTTGACAAAAAGAGGGCCCCCTGCGGAAATGGATTAATTCATTATTCTAATAATATCGGAGATACTGCGCTCAGGTACTTATTGCTATACTTGCTGGGGTACTGGTCACCTTTCACTTTGGATCTATAAAGGAGCAAACCCTTTTATTCTTACTATCCCCCGTTTCTCGCCTCACAGTTTTTCCCCAAACCCTCTGCCTGACCTACTTCAATACCGTAGAAATGGGTATTCAGAGAACTAAGGCTCATGGCGGTTCGCAGCGATATATAGACCGAATGACTCGATTGCTTTCATCAGGCTCACCGGAGCCAAAAAATACTGGGAGTCCCCCACTTCAATCGTCGGCTCTGAGGACGACGATTGGTATTCTCAGACCGATGGATCTGACGATGATGGCAAGGCTACCTTCCTGGATGAATGCAGTGATGGAGAGGAGACTCAGGGACAAAGGGCAAAGGAACGGGTCAAAGAGCGGCCCTTGGGAGGAGTCAGATCTGTGAAGTCCCTGAACCCTGAGTATCTCACAGAGTCGATGGAAAGAATGATAGAATGTATGACAGAGTGAGTCTGAAGCTACCCTTACTGTGAGATATCGCATTCTAACGGCTCGAATTAGATTGGATGTACGGGTGCAGTAAGGTTCGCTTGGAGATAAAACCAGAATCCCCACGCTGACCCGCTTCAGATCTAACGCAGACTCGCTCACGGGCCAGGTTCTATGGAATCAGAAAATGCAGCGAAAGTTTGGTGCCATGGACACGTTGAGAAAAGAAGTGGCTGCATTGAGGAAGCAAGTGGAGGTTTTATCGAGCAGGGATGCAGTCATAGACCGAGAGACCGTGGGTTCGAAGCGTCAAAAGCAGTGAGAGAATGTCAGTCAACATCGTACATAAAGTCCCGAAACGAAATAGTAAGGATTTTGTCTCCATGTGAGGAAATTCTTTGGCCTTCTCCTGGCGTTATACAGAAGGTCACATGCCGCCCTCAGCCAAGTTCCGCGCTAGAAACCCATTCGTGACGTACTATTATATCGATTTATTATCGTGAGGGCGAATTCGGTCCTGCATTCATTGCGAACAATTACGGGCAGATGAATCAAAACCACAATGCTGATTTTAGACATTCCCGGATCAGTCTAGACGGTAGGAAAGCTCTACGATTTGTCCGGGGAAAGCTCTGTCGTGCCCGGATCGAACTAATATGAGCCATTTTCTTTAGCGTATCCACCGTTCCCTGCAGTTCCATGCACGAGGGGTAATTTTATCATTTTCATCAATCAGCCAATCATGTCCAGTCAATTATGTCCGCGAGCCTCAATGTCGCGGCGGTATACGGCGAATCAGAGCGCGTCTGTCATCAAACTTTTAACGCGGGGACCATTGTCACTTACTCCCCTTTTCGTACCGCAACGCTCCGACGAATCTCGCCTGTTGTTTGCATAGGATTTATCCGCGTCGCCGTCAGTCCCATCTCGCTTGCGCTGTGATGAGTATATGGCCGTTACGGGGTTTTAGAGCTATCTCAGCCCCGAGGCGGACCCCTGATCAATATGCACCCGAGCCCAAAAGGGACTAGCTCTTCTCTTGGGAAAAGCTTGATTCGCACGGGATCTACAACCTACACAAGGAAAATCATACAGGTACCCATGTCCGCACTACTTTTAGTATAGAATTAATTATCACTTGAGCCACGCCTGCCGAGGTTTCTCCGCTAGGCCAGGCTTGAATTCCAAATACTTTGGCGCAATCAACAAAATAACACCCCTTTTACAGCTAAGGCTGAAAGCTGATGGATGAAGTCAGTGTGTCTGTGGTAGATCCAGAAGATCATGTCGCATGGACTGACTGTGCGCAAATGCATGCCATGAGACCTGAAAGGTCGCGTTCCGTGCCGACTAGGGCCGTCCACGGCCCGCATCGCTTCCATTTTTCCCCTTTTTGGCGCAATGTGGCACTAGTCCAAATGTGGTCAGAAAGAAGTGACTCTAAAAGAGAAGTCACCAGGCTTATTTACGGAGACGTGCACGCGTACCTATAAGCCTCAACCCAAACCCAATTTCGCAGCCGTCCTTTCATCCCTTAGTGCCATCCTAATCTCACCCCTTATGTTGAGGACGATCCATGGGTAGCGTCCAAGGAATTGAGGGCTACTTGGCCTGACGAAAACAGCGTGGTTCAATTCAGTCTGAAGTGCTGTCGCATGTCAATTACCCCGGTTTTTGATCCCGGATTGCGGCGAACATCTTCTGTGCACTCTTTGCACTTGGAAAAGATGCGTCTAGACTGCGTTACGGCTTGCCCGGGAAAGTACTATGTGCTCCACCATACGGCAGATCGAGCCCCGGTTTCACCCTTTCCCCTGAATTTAGGGGCCAAGATTGCATCATTTGTTCTACGTCAGGCAGTCAGTCACGTACTAAGAGGAATTCCTTCTTGAACCCGCTCGTCCGCAATCAACTAAACAACTCTAAATCACCATATACACGTATTCAACATAACGGGCTGCTATAGCTCCACACAGTAGCATCCCTCAACCGAAATGAATCCACACAAGCTCCCCAAGATCCCACATTTTGCGTGACTCTCTCACCATCGGCTGCAAAAGGACGATTTGCGGATCCTTTAGGTGGATACGAGGATTTCTGAGATCTGACGCTGATTTCGGATTTAGCCTGGACCGGCCGGCACGCGCGACCGGTGCGATGCAAAGCTCCTGCCCAATCATCGACTCTGATCGGCCCATATATTTGCAAGCGCAATGACAGACTTGGAGTCAGTTTGGACCAAGTTGTTTGAGACTGCTTAATAGATTCCAAGTTGGCAAGGTAGCGGTAGATCAGTGAGATCGGGGCACACGGACTGTGCGCCATACCTTGTGTTCCGTGACTCAGACACTAGACCCAGCCTAGCTTAAGTCGAAAGACCAGCCATCGGCATTACGATTGCACTACCTGATAGAAACGCGTCAAAACAGTCGTATAGCCGCCATTCGACAGACTTTCCCGTAATTGAAACAAGGCGCTAGCCCAACAGAGTACCAAAGACAAGGGTATTATAGAGAAGTGCTATTTTGGGTTTAAGCCTACAGCCGGGCTAGTGCAATCTCGGATAATGGGCAGGCATATCTACGGTTTCAATTGCGTCACCCGAAACTATCATTCTCGCTTAGACATTCCTAAATCGAATCACCTTGATCTGCGGTGAAGGCCCGTTGACGGCATGGTATCAAATGGAGTAGAATTTTACAAACTCGATCTACGTGATCCGCGATCTAAGGAAATGATATGACCGTATAATCATAGTGGCGGGAAATACCCATGTAATTTTTTCCCTTGTCGTTCCGCTAGACTCGGGATATTCTAGGCAGTTATTTTCATCCGTCTACGACTTTTTCGGACTGATGCATCGAACATTGGATGTTTTATGTCTAGTTGATGTACTACGTAGGCGCACTGCGCGGATGATGTTATTGCTAATCCATGTTCCAACTGGCTACGTGAAGAACTCCGGGACTCCGTCATGATAGCAGACGCTTTCTCTTCACAATTGTGCTATGTATTGGCTAGCTTGCTGGAGAGGTTGCTGGCTGAACTGGACCGGTACTTGCTGGAGAGGTTGCTGGCTGTATTGGATCGGCGCTTGCTGATTGGTCGACGAAAGGGTATTGGGTAGTGGATAGTTTGGGAGCGAGTTGGTACCAAACGAGCCCATCTGCCCGTTATTGACTGGCCACGAGCCTTGTAGCACATCAGATGTAGGTAAGCCAGCAAATGCAGACTTGTTTTTCTCTGCATTCTTCTCTGCCTCTATCTTCTTCTCGAGCTGGTTCTGCGCATATTGAAAATAGCTGCTGACCTCCAATAGTATGGGCAGCACATTATCACCGGTCGTGCAACAAGCCTGTGCAAACTGAAGTTGTTGTTTCAGACTAGATACTTGAAACTCAAGCTCTTGAATCTTGGCCAGATTCCGGTCATCTTTGTCACTCAGATGGCGAACTTTTGTCGTGGCTTGGGCATTGTCTTCCTCTAGTTGCTGTATGGATTGTGTGAGCTCCTCCCGCTCTTTATCAGCGTCCTTGAAAACCTGCAAGCATCGTCGATGAACAATCCTCCAGTGCTTTCGTTTCGGGGTCTTTGCTATTGGCGAGGTGACCTGGATTCCACATTGGGCTGAGTATACTTGCATTCACGGGACAGTGATGTCAGGACATACCAATGGTGTATAAATGTGTGCGCCTTGGGTATCTGACGAAGCATCATCATCACCGGCGATAGGAGGGCGGATAGTATGCTTGGGAGCGGCATGTGACTCAGAACGGCCTTGACCAGTACTGTTGAGGGCTTGGCCTGCCGTCCTTCGGGAAGGCATATCGTGCGTCAACACTGTGAAACGGATTTTTTGGCAACAAGTATTGACTCTTCAAGTTTGACCGCTCGGGGAGGCCATCTGAGCTTTTATAGGTCTCCAGTGTACGAGCCAGTAGGCAAAACAGGTCGGAACGAGGTAGCACGCAGCCGGACAATGTGGGCCGCAGGATTGTAAGGTTGACTGTTCGAATGCCCGATCATTGGTCCATGTTGACAACCGGCCGTAATAACGGTTATCTTGTAGTTTCACGATATGGTTACATTTGAGGGGCGAAGATCGACCGTTCACTTCTTCCTTTCATGCTCTCTGGGGACCGCTAACCATCAATTGACCGGTAGATGTCTCAACCATGAACACTTTTCGTTGCGTATGACTTTTCTGCGGTCAGGCGTTGAACATTTCGGGACGAAGTGCACATCCTCAATAAACATAATCCTCAAAACCTGACCATGGGCTCATTTAAACGGCCCAAGCTTTGCCAGGGCTTACAATTCCACCAGGTACCTGAGTCGCACTTTACGCGTATGTTATTATCTACCTTGCCTTTGGGTTGCATCTATAGTCTCCTATCCCATGTCTCATTGGCGTACCATTTCGTATCGGGATTAATTTGGACAGCGGGAAACTAAAGCTCATTTAGACATAAACGGAATGGCAATCAGTCTTACAAGTGAATTTCAGGAACCAATTGGCTTAGCATGTTCCAGAGACGGCATACTTTGGCAAGTATTGCTCGCCGCTAATTACTCAAAAGGCTCTATTAGGCAGCGCATATCGCGCCGAGCAGGAACAGATTAGTAATGAGATGTTCATTAAGTCTCAAATTACTCACTCTGTACAGGTACGTCAAGCAGTCCACCAATGACCTGATCTAGAATATGATACATGCCGTAAAAATATGTGGCAACAGTAGTAAATCACGCACAGATCCACGTTCGTAAAAAACGGATTTTGGGCGATCTGTGGAAATTAGGTCTTGGGTCGCCGGAAGTCTGATCGCGGGCCACATAGGCTGCCCCACCCAATCAATCGATCGCGACTCAATAGTGCCACCACTTAACCAGATAGCAAGAATGTATTGTAAGGTATCACGGATTATCCCTGTCGCGTAATTTCGGTTACGACGTGATTAGAATTCATATACCGGAGTATGCGACTTGGCTCAGTCTCGACTGTGAGGCACACGTTAAGTCTGTCAGATGTGGCACTGGCCCAGTTGACCGTCCGTAACGGGCTTAGTTTTACTATTCTTTCCCTTCAAAGATGCGGTTCACTTCATTCCCGAGCAGACAATATCTACTCGCGGTCAGCCGAGGAAGGGATATCAGTTTGGCTTGCATAAGGGTTTCCTAATGAAAATGTGGTATTGGACTGACAATGTACAATAGCAGACCAATGTTCTTCACTATTTTAATGGCCGAGACACGGTCTGGTGCAATGCAAAAGGTATTGGGTGAGGTCATTGTTGCTTTAGACAATGAAGTCCTCGGGCTCTCTTCAACAATTCAAAATCGGGCCGGTTAACCGTATATGGTCAACAGAGCTCAAAGAGATCGTTCAAGGAGCGTAAGCCTATTGGAGCTCCAAGTGTCTAGCTGGACGCTGTCCATTGGCATAGAGCTATAAAAAACCCACAATATCCTCTGTTGCTTGAGTAAGCTTCCTGCTGCTTGCGTCAAACCCATCTGCTCGTTACTTAGCACCTATCTTGTACTTGTTAGAATGGATTCCTCGGTAGGCAAAAAAACCCCTTTCTGAAGCCGTCTCTAATTCCAAGATAGGAATATCTCCGAATTCTCGCGAGACTCGACAGTCGAGCGGTCCGGGCAGAACGAGCCCAGTCCAAACTTGAACAGGAACTGAGCGCTTCCAAGGCAGCCGAGAAGCAAGCTACTGAGGAGTTGGAGCATGTATCCAGACTAGCGGATATTTTCTTTGAACTCAGCCAGAAACTGGGAGGCGTGGTGGATCATTGGCTGAAGGAGCGCAGTACTAGCCAATCCGGACAAGAGCCGGAGTCAACAAAGGTAATGCTTGATGTGTTGTTGAAACAATTGGAAGCACGCGAGTTGGGCAATAGCGGTGAGAATTCCGGTGGTGACTCGGAGAGTGGTAGCGCAAGGCCTGCGGAACAGTGCAGCTAAGTCATGGCTTAACGATGGTTCACCGTGCATCGTTCCTTGTTCATGTACATTGGTCATTGTTTTCGAAGCGACCAGGATTGCTTTACTGCTTGTTCCCGTCAAGAGCGGTCATAATTACATGTATATATCATATTAGTATGCTCTGGCACTTGAAACGCGTTTGTTTCTACAATGGCATATATATGTGCTGCCTTGCCCTTAGTTCGGTTTGCAGCACTTCTTCCCTTGAACCTTTTTATTACATATCATTTATTCCGATTATGGAAATTCAACTGACTTTCTGTCAGAAGCTGACGCGGAAGCTTCAACATATTCTGGGAGACAATCTTTCCAAGTCTAGCATCCCCAACACGCTACCCCGTGCGGAATCTACTTCTGATACTCTTGATGCTGCACTTGAATGGGAACGCATTCGACGATCGGCAGCTCCATCGCCAGAGTTGCTCTCTAAGGAATGCCAGAGACAGAAGATACATCCAGATAGCCATGAGCTCCGTATGTATTTTCAATGTGGATACTATCTCTTACATCAATACTAAATCACATATAGCTGAGGATAAAGATGGGAAGGCAAGGGGCTGCTCCTCAACATGCCACCAAACAGGCCAGTTGTTGGTGGGAAGCAGGGCTGCGGGACAAATAGGCAAGATAGGGGTCAGTGAAGAGGAGCATTTCATGATTGGGTTTGGTTCATTTCTGGGGGCGCTGGCTGAAAAATAATGAAATATAACAGGCAAGATGGTTGTAATGAAATTTTTGTTTGATCCCCTACATCTGATGGAACGACTGCTGGCTTTCAGATTGCTTGAAACTGTGTTTGTGTCCTTCGTCGAAAGATTAGCGTCAGTTGCTTGTGGTGTATAAGAGACGATTTTCAGGATTTAGGCGTCAAAATGTACCCGTCTGTGCCGATCTTGTAAGAGAAACTAGTTGGCCAGCGTTGTGCCAGCGAAAGGGACCGGTGCCCATCCTTCTGGATTTGAGTGGTTTCCTCCGTCTGACTGGCTTGGGCATATAACAGCTTCATCCATCTTTGGGCGCACCTTCTGGGTCGGGAAGAGTGACGCCTGCATTCTGGACATAGCATGTATCTTGCAGCCTCTGCGAGTCTCGTTTTAGGTGGGTGACCGGTAGGGAGATCTTGGAACATCTTGAGGCATATCGCTCCGTTTCTTCGCGAATCCTTGGACACAGGATTGTTGCAACATACTCCGTTGTCTTCAACCCATCGGCACCCCAAACGATGAGTAGGGTCGCCAATAATTTGGCCGAGGATCGACTGAAGATATTCAGAGCTCCAGTCCATATTGGTGGATAGTACAAGAGGATGCGCAGTAGGTACAACGCAGATCAAAGGGAAGAAGATGTTGAACAGAGCAAGTGAGGAGGCTCATTGGTCTTCAGGGACACATCTTTTATATTAATAAAGTGCTCCGAACGCACAGTAGAATCGCTCGTGCGACCGGACGGTCCAAGCGTCTAGTGAATTGAAAACCCCAATCGAGTTTTGGTGGTCATCACTACAATCAAAGCTTATACGTTGCACGTGCTGAACGCTTTTTGTTTCTCCTAGAAAAGCCGTCCTTGTTCGTTGTGTAAGCATACATGTAGCCAACAGGTGTCCACTTTTACCAACGGCAAACGACTGCTAAGTACCTAGGAACGAAACTCTGGTTCCTGGGGCTCAAATATGGGTTCCTGGGAGTCCCTGAACTCCCAGGAATACCCATGCCGTTCCTGGGAGCACCCATCCGGTTTCCAGGAACACATATTCAGGTCCCAGGAGACTGAGTACTTCTGGGAGCTCAACCATCTGCCCTGCGAGCCAAGGACCTTTTGATTATCGCCACCCATGTCACTACACAACCTCATGCATAACAAATTCTGGTAACAGAGAAGGATTACTATAAATGCTCAGATGACTCTTTAGCAGTTTGTCTTTCAGTCGCCACCACCGCCTTGATACATTCCTCGCCTCTCACCCACGTACTACGCTCAAGATGTCAGACTCCCAGTGGCTTTGGGACCCCTTGACTATCTGTCAGATGGGGCCCCTTAGGGAAAATAAGACGTGCTGTGGCATTACCAAGAAAGGGGATGCTTGCCAGTTGATTGTGAAGAAAGAGACCTTGAAAGAAGGTCGGCACAAGTTGAACAACCTTGCACGAAGCCCATTCAATCTTTCTACACTCGACTCCCAGTTAAGCGACATCGCACCCTTCTTCCTCTGCAAACAGTGGCATCGAGCACGTCAGCACGATGATATTAAACAGCAATGGTTCAATGCAGCCGTGCGTAATCAGACCGATGCACAAGATTCCCCGCGCCAACCTGTTTCACAAATCACCGGGGAAGAAATCGACCGAGCGCAACAGGAAACAGCCAGTACTGCCTTGGAGCCAGACGAGTTTCCTCCAACATGGGGTACCACATGGCTAGATGTGACTCTGCCTCCTGGTCGGGATGTCACACCAGACATGCTTGCAATGAATCGAGTGTACTGGGATGTTTCATCGGATGATCCGGCCATTCTATCCATTCACAATGAATACGGTGGACTACACTCCCTCCAGATTCACGCCGTTCGCCAAGAGTCCTGTCCAGATGGTGAGAAGTGTTCAATTTGCCTCGAGGGAGATAGCGATGAATGTGCCATGTTACAATGCGATACATGTAAGGGGGTGGTTCATTTGGGGTGTATGGAGGGATGGCTCGCCCATCGATTACCGGGAAATAACACCTCTTGCCCGCCACAGTACGTATCCCATCACCCTCTGCTACCCGGTTCATTCACTAATACAGATACAGTCGATGTCATGGATCGTTCAGCGCTCTCTTACGCTCATCCGCCGTTGAAAATACTACTGCCGAGTCGACAGCAGAAACACCTCTCGATGCCACATACACACTAGTAGAAGAAACAAGTGTTCCAACAGCACCTCCACAGCATCGGTCAACCCCACCTACCCGGCGTTCAGACCGTCTTCAGGTCTCAAGCTCATCTCTTATTCGTCGATCGCGTCGATCGAGACGGGTTCCCGATCGCTTCCGACCATAGCGTAAGCTTCAGATAGACGAGAGCTGAGTGATGAATACACGAGATCGTTTCGTATAACGCATGAGATTCGTCCTGGGGCTACATACACAGAATTCAGCACCGTCGTGAGCAGACACAAACAGTAGCGGATCTTCAATCTAATCGAGGATGCATGACATTAACCGGTTGGAGTTTGCGGCGCAGTGCATGAGCGAACATGGTTGGGCCGTTGCAGGGCCGGCTCCACCGCGTGATTTATGTCTAACCGCAACTTGAACGCTTGACCACTAAGTGAGGTTGGACAACCGTGTACACAAACAGCCATGCTCGCTCGTAAGGTCAGCGTCAAGCTTCCGCAGAGAGTCAGCCGTAACCTTCCATCTCTGCGACCTCATTATAACATTATAACATAATGATTGTCTCAATGTCTCTGGAAACTAATTTTCTACTGCTTAATTTAGCATTGAGCAATACGACGTTGCTTGGATACTTTAGAACCAAGTCTGCATTCTCGACACGTTTCCTTGCGAGATGGATCCAATCCAGCGCCAGCCCTCTCAGGATCTGTGGCTTGACGGAACGCCCGATTTGGCCACCTTGCAAAAAACACCTCGTCCTTCTGCGCCGTCTTCTACGCCCCAGCCCGATCCAGCGATAACCCCTTCTACTCTGGCTCTGCCTCCTCCACCGCTGCAGAAAGATCAAATCGAAGTTCGGGCAATTCAGCCAGTCTTTCGAGACCCTTGGCAGACGTATGAGGCGATCGTGGTGATTTTCCAAGGACAGTCTGTCTTTCTGGCCCGACGCAGGGAAAGCAAAGCAACACTTGTCAATATTCATCTTTTGAAGCAATCCTCATCCGTCAAGCCATTGCTGGAAACAATCAGCCAGATATCTCACCCCAGCTTTCTAGGCCTGGTAGCGTGCTATTGTTGGAAGGAGCAGGTATTTCTGGTCCGGGAGCCAGTGGAGCTCTCGGTGAGTCACATCCTCGCATCAAGGTGCACTATCACGGAGGGGGAGATTACTGCAATTGTTCGGCCGGTACGTACTACTCTCAAGGGTCGACACGAAAAACCAAACGATGCTCATGCCCGATAGGTCCTCGAAGGAATTCAATATCTGCGCGGCCAGGGGAGAGCACTTGCCGCCTTGAGTGCTGACACTTTGTTACTCACGGAGTTCGGTGGTGTCAGGATCGGTGAGTGGATATCTGAGCATAACTGGCGGGATCACGTGAGCATGAGATGCTGACAATTGGCCATGTGGCAGCGGGAGTGGAACAAAGTTGCCAGATCGATGCAGCCGAGATGGACGCAGCCACAATGAAGCTGTTTGCTTTGGCGGAGGTGGTGGAGAGACTGATCATGAAGAATCCTTCGCAATACCCATGGAGTACCGAAGTAAAGAGTCTGCCTGACGAGTTGAAGAGATGCAATTCACCGGAGACGCTACTACGCGTAAGCCTTGACCGCCAAGCCCTTCGAGTCACCTGCTGACCAATCAGAGCAAACCGTTCGAGCAATCGGGGGATGAGGGCGAATTGAAGATGCTGGTGAACGCGGCCAATAAGACTGCTTATCATAATCTAGAATCGTTCAAGCGCATATGAACGTCGTGATGCGTTGTTGTGGAGGACATCAGTTCCTGTTGTCAGCTGGCTGGCGATACAATACAATCGGGAATGTTCGTTCTGCGGCAGATGGTGCATAAATTGGGGGCAATTTGCAGCTCCATCTGAGGAGATCGCTCGCGGTGTCTTCCTTGGTACAGCCAAACATCATCCATGTTTCACTGACTAGCAAAGTACTCACTACGATTACTGTTACCGCTGGATATCACCATATACTTCTGGTCCCTCTTAACCTGAATAGATTTGTCACTACCACTGCCTTCGCCCTGCTCTATAGAGACCAGATCCATTGGAAACTTGATCTTTATGATTTAGATTCTACGGTCTTTGTGCATTTAAAGAACGGTCCAGATTTGGTCCAGCTAGACTAAAGAACAGCCCCAAATATGATGATGTAGGTACCAGCGATGACATTACAGACCCTAGCATGAGTTTTGAATGATCTATCGACCCATAGCTGACCGATCTGGTTTTATGTCAAGACAGTCCTAAATGGCGAGTAAAGCAGCTTACTGATTTGTCCGATCCGGGCATGGCACATTGATCCTGACTAGCAGCCTCCAGATAAGGTTCTTTCAGTGCACATTTAGATGGCGATCAAACGCACTGGTTCCGTATCATGGTCTTCATCTACAGGAATATCGAAATATACCTGGTCGCGTTTCATCACTTGAGTCCAACTGGAGGTGTGGTCTGTCACGTGTGTGATCTAGCCATGTTAGGTTGGGCGCAGTGTCTAGTAGCAATTGCTTCGAGCTTTGAGCACTGTTACACGATCAAACCCTTGGCTGATAGGGCTAGGCTGGTGGTAGTGCTGTAGTACCTATATGGAAGCATAAGTTGTGTTCCGCGTACAAGTGCGGTTGGCATAACAGATGCAACAAATTCTTAAAAGGTGACCTCGGATATATATAATGCATAGTATGATTTGAAGTTTCAACCACGAACCTAGTGAACATGGCAGTCCACGGCCTAGGCAAGCCCTTCGCGCTCGCTACCTCCTGCCTATGTGTCATAAATCCAACATCCGCATTTTCACACGTAAAAACGCGTCGTTTGCCTGGCGATAACCGCGTTGCGCAAAGTGATATTTCCCAAAACGGGGGTTCAACTCCGGACCCACTCAACAGCACCCATTGGCCGGAGCGCTCGTAAGTTAACACGAAACACGCGACCACATTGTCAGTCAAGCTACCTCGTCGCGTAGCGGAGCCTGCGATATTCGTAGCGCCATGCTGTCTGTGCTATCACCAGATTCACCTTGTCTGCATCCATGCAAATTTGTCCTGCTCCGCTCCTGGGCTTGATGATCCTGTAAAACCTGCATAGCTTCGGTGATCCCATTTGTGACACGGACCAACTCGTCTTCTAGGTGGGTTGCTCGAGATGAGCTACTATCCAACTCGTCCTGAAGCCGACGAATTTTCGCGTGTAATGTGCGATTCTCGTCGAGGGACTCCTGGAGATGGATGCTGGTGTGGCCAAGCTCGTTCTTCATTCGATGATTGGCGCATTCCAACTCGCGGATCTTTGCCGTAAAAGAGCCGCTTTCCTCCTCGTCAGTACGGGCTGGCCCAGACTATATCCAAATTTAGTATTGCATTGGCCAACTGTAGGGCTCGCAAGGCTCACGTCTTCTCTTGGCAGATGGTCTCGTTCTAACTGGGCAACCTGCAGCGTCTGCGGAGTAACTGCCTCAAGCGACCGGCCTAGTTCTTCGCAAATGGACCTGTACAGGCCGACACTTCCACCGCCCAAGTTCGACTGCAACAGGCTCTTCTTGGATTCCGTCACCGACCAAGCGTATCCATCCCCAGCCGATGGCTGTAGCCGGACTTGGCTGGGAGCGACGACAAGGCCAAGTCGGTCATCTGACGCGAGTTAGTTTCGCTCATCAGGCGGAGAGAAGACCATAACATACTAATATGGGCTGCCAATGCTTCACGGCACTGTTGTCTGAAGAAGGCGCGCTTCTCATTGCTTGTGAGAACCATGATTGTATTTGATCCTTCAAACAAAGTTCAACCCCTTGATATATGTTCAGGCTAGGCGTTAGCGATCGTACGCCTCGATAACTTATCGGCTGAAGACGATCTGATTGTCGTTCAAGCATGAACACCCCGGTGGGGCCCACCGGTTACCGAAGACCACAGTTGACCGTTGGAAATTGTCAACCGGCTATGAAGTTTGGGCAGCGTTGATTCAACCACAACCACGACAATCGTAAGCAATATTCGGCAGATTTGTAACTATAATCTAGAGAATTAACTCTTTCGACCATGAGTCCCCTCATCCATTGCAATCCAGCCTCGCTCTCGGCTGATTTATCTACGTTCGCTTCTGCCGTTTGTTAGACCAGTCAGGCAGCCCTTCCATCCGAACCACGGGTAATGCGGCCGAAGGATTCGGGTTGTCCCCCGCGGGAAAGATTGGCCTGGGAGGAAGCCCGTAAATGGCTGGTCTTGTGTTCTCAGCGACCATAGGAAAGTAACGTGACGAACAATCCAAGTGAGTGAACTCCACCAATTTACTACCTTGGCCTATGAGCCGCTGAGCGCAGCCACATGGAGCATGTCCGCCTGGACAGATGACATAGGGAAAAAAAGAGAATAAGATGCTTGGAATGAGCTCACAGGATGGCTGACAACTTACCTCTGTTCACATGTAAAAGCCCTGAGCTCAAGTCTATGCACTTTTCCTTGTGAAGAACCACAAGGTATGTCTCTTGTTGGCCATAAATCCCAAATGATTCTGTCTCGCTGTTTTCCCAGCTAACCACCAACATCCCCGGTAGAGACTGCTTCAGAATGACTCTTTGTGGCATCAACCGAAGCGCGTGCTTGACATGCAGTACCCTTTGCATTTTGGGTAACATCATTTCGTGTACCGTTTGCATTTTGCTGCGGTAGAAGATAGGCGCGGTCGAGAAGACCGTCGCTGATAACATACTCAGGACATTCTCAATGATATGATCGCAAAAGACCACAGCGTCCTTTGCTGCCACTTCGCCGGAATCTGTGCACGAATATTGCCGGTGCAACCAGTCGTGGTGGATGTTCAATGTATCGCGTTTTGAATCGAAAAAGTAATCGACATCCACCATGTTGCTTTGTACAAGGCGTATCTTCATGTGCTCCGTCTGTTTGAACATACATGCGCGCACAGCTCTCAATATCGCCCCCGCGAACGTCGATTCTGGCGGGGCGCATAGCTCCGCCTCCCTGAACAGCTTGATCAGCTCTTCTTCCGCCGTTCTTATTGCTGAGCCTGGGCGCAGAAGATCCCAAAGCATTCCAGGGAGCATGGTTGGTTCCTTTTTCAGGATTTTGGAGATCATGGTAATACCCTGTACAATGTCATTTCACCGCAAGTCTGACTCTAGCAATCTTTACCACCAACCTTAACGTGGCATTTCTCGCCGTAGTAGAACTTCTTGTTATTGGCTTCACTCAGCAGATGCTGCCATATAAGTTTCCTCGTGGACTCTTCCAGCAGCTGGTCGGCCGACTCAACATCGGCCGCTTGAGGGAAGTTTCGGAGGAGATTGATATAGATCGGGAGCATGGCCGTCTGGTGCTTTTGAATGGCAGTCTCCCATATGCGCCGCACTATGTCAGCTTCTTCACATTTGTCAAGCAGACTCTGTCTATCCCGACTGAACTGCCCTTTTGCGAAATTGTATCCCAACTTGAACGTCCTGGAAGCAGACACGGAAAGAAGCATTCCCTTGAGATAGACCTTGCCCTGGAATCTTGGGTCCAGAATAAGGTCTCCGTGTTCGGTTTCGATAATGTGCGAGGGATAAGAGAGACCGCGGATGTCCATCGTTGTTTCCATCCATTTCATCAAAACGTCAAGTGGAACTGGCTGTGCATTTTTGTCGCGCATTGTGCCGATTTCAATGGTGACGTCCCTGTCAATGCGAGAACGCAACCGAGCCATATCGTCAGTCGCGTCTGTCTGGGAGCCGGCATCAGCTTTCTTCGACGGACATATCACGCAACAAAAGCGTGATCCGGATTGACCCTGCAAAGAAAATCTCCAGTGGCAGTTGCTTGCAGCAATCTTCACCTTGTAACCGTTTCGGGTCATCACCAAGGCTGCCAGCTTGAGTCCTTCCCCATGACATCCTGCAAGGTTAGTTTTGCCTTGTTTGGACGTGTGCCCAAGCTGCAAACTCTCTGGCTGAATTTGAGCACAAGGGTTCGCCAAGGTGACGCGACCTGCTTTCTTATCATATTTGATATATCCCAAGGCCCGACGACGCTGATGTGGTTCCTTAGGGTCTGGTACGATGATCGACACGCAGCCACTTTTATCTTCGTAGTACGGCTGGAAATTGAGGCGGTTTAGTTCGAAATGTTCCAAGATGGCGTCCTTCCTATCTCACGTTAGCGTGGTCGGGAACAGCCTGGTTCACTTACCAGTTCTGATACAGCTCCCGAAATGCAGCAGCAGGATCCCAGTTTTGCACATAACTCGGAGAGATAGTGAGTGTGACACTCATCTGACGCTCCCAATTCCGAGCATCCTTGTATGTTTCGATTGACTGCAATTCGCGTTCGAGTTGCTCGTTCGCCTGTTTCTCCACCTCGCCTGGCAAATAGTCTTCGCTCTCGCAAGCAGAATCACTTGGAGGTAGGTCCATCAGAGCAGAGTATGTAGAGGAGTCGGATCGGTTTAGGACGCACCCTGCATATCCGAATTACTGGGAATTGGCTGGTGCTTTTATAGATGGGTAGTCAGTCAATGATGGTCACGTGTTCTAGCCCAGATACGTGAGGCCCAGTGGCCCTCCAGCGTCTGATGGTTTGCACCCAATGAACACTTACCCCTCAATTTAAACGCGACTTATCAACCGTTCAAGTCCGATTTTCACCCGCCCTATACATGGACTACCCGTTTGCATGTCTCTCGGTCGTTGTGTCTTTGCACCGCCATGTTATATTTCCAATCATCAGATAATTGCGCCCGGTTTCAAAGTGACGCCCTTTATTGACTGTCACTTAGAGAGCGTAAGGGGAAGTAAAGCTAGCTCCCAAGATGCAATCTATCATCTGACCGTACGACACTGTGGGACGGTGAAGCGAAACTCGGAAGAGCGTACGATCAACTTTCTTACGCCGCCCAAGTATGGCCGTGCCGCCAACTACAATCTTCATCCTCCTACGAGCTGTAAAGTGAGGTATGACAGATTAGGGACATGCGTTGAACGTGCCAAGGAATACTTTATGGGAACGTAAGGTCATGGCGACGATAAATAGCATCGGGACCCCCAGTCGAACCATCATCTCTCGCATTGTCCGAAATAATGCCTGCCATCTCTCGGCAGCCAACGCGCCGCGCGGTGGACGAACTCGACGCCATGCCCTTACTTGGTCGCCGCCCTAACACGCGACCGTCGCTGAAACCTAAGGGTGTCAACAGCCCGGCTAAATCAACCTTGCAGCGAGACCAGCCGACGCTTCGACTGCGGCTTCAGCAGAGATGCTTGAAACCAGAGACGTGGTGGACGTCACTTACCGCGTTTGGTGCACATGGTGATATTTCTGGGCACGTGCTGGAACACGAGAAAGCCATTGCCGTGGAGGAAACCCGACAGGAATGGATGCAACGTCTGCGGCCCATGCCGCACCGGCAGAACCCACCAGCAAAGAAAGGGACAGAACGCAGAAGGAGCTAGCGTTGTTCTTGTTCTATCCTATAGTATCTGGTGGACGAACAATGCCCTCAAAGGCCGAGCTTCAACCAATAAAAAATACTTTTGGCTTATGGTACTGCAGTGACACAGTGGCAGTACAGACTGAATTCAGAGAGTTGTATAGCATTTCGGGTTGATGCCACTTAAAAGATATAGCCAATGATTACGCACTGGACACTTAGTTCCACAAATATGTATTCCCCGTCATGTACACATGTACACGCCCTCGAATCAGTTTCCCCGCTTGATCTCTTTGATGCTTCGGTTCATCCTGTAGGGTCAGTCATCAAATGAACTATCGAAATGTGTCTACGTATTTAAACTTGAAGCAGCTGCGCTACATCGCCTCCACCGCAGACCAGTATACCTGGAGTGTTCTCTTCAATTGGTGCTTTTACATAGCTATCCCTCTATACCACCTGAGTGAGCTACACCATTCTCAATAGATCTTTTAAGGCCACTTATGGAAGGAATTTGGCTCACCAGAGAACTACGGTAGGATTTGATTGATAGAAAATAGACGAAGATACACTAGCTTCGCATAGCCTTCCGAGAACATCTCTCCTATTTAATCAGAGTGACAATATAAAAGAATAAAAGTTTTATCCCAGGTCAGTAGGAGCAACTGATATCGGAACTTGTGCTAAGAAACATCGTGCTCCCACCATTGGAAGGACACAAATTAGTAACCGTCTTTCAGGATTGGCTTGACGGGTGGACACCCCGGTGTTTCAATAGTGAACTGCCATGTCTTTCCCTGATACCTAGAGGACGGGAGGTTCAACACGCAAATGGGTGTAAGAGCACCTCGCCGGGAGATTGATCCTCCCACCCCAACAACGTTTGGACTTGCTAGCGTGCAAATATTTCCACTCGAGTAAAAGCAGAAGTTCGATCGAAGGGGATTCTGTTCAAACAATTTTCGGGTGGTTTTGCCCTTCAACTCCATTATCTCCGCTCCGAAGACTATGTCTTTGATATTGAGTTTGATTTTAGGAACCGTGATCTTCTTGTTAGCTGTATTATACCAGCTGAGCTTTGGCAAAATCACTTCGTGATTCTTTTCGTCATAGCGATGATCTGTTCGTAGACTTCGACGCAAGGACGCAACGCCGGCATAGAAGGTCTCACCAGACCAGTCGTTCGCCCGCAGCACTATGTAGAGCGGTTTCCCTCCTTTCTTTGCCTGGCACAAATTTGTAACAGTTCGGAGGTTAGCCCCAATGAGTACAGGATCGGAACCGCAGCTAAGAGCCATTTCAACCCAGGCTTCATCTTTGAATATCGTCCTCCAGAGGCGATGGGATTCATCTTCGTCAATGAAAGATAATGCATTTGCCTCTTTCTTTGCTTGGCAAGGGTCCAAAGACCGGATAATGCGGTTGAGGATTTTCCATGGAAGGTTTGGCATCGTGGTTGCGACGACACCCGTATAAACGTACAGATTAGGCTTTGTTGCGTGAACTCTTTTGGCCTGGGGGGTTTTCACTCTTATAAGTGGATGGCCGTGCGTTTCTGGGGGAGCTGCTCATTCATGAGTTTTGGACTCTACCCTCTTTGTGTTGCTTTCGTTGATTCGATTTTCAGAGTGGTAAGGGAGAAATGCTTTAGGATAATCTTTTATTCTGCCACGTGTGGTCACATTCTACGCATGGACCGTTGAACGGCAGACCGTAATGTTCATTGTACTATATGGCGGCATATTCAGATGAAATAACACTGCAGCCCTCATTTTGATGCGGCTTGCTCAATAATCCCTCCCCACTAAAGCCTTGGCGGTGGGACCAGAAAAAAAGTAGCTTTAGGGACGGAATATGGATTGAACGGTGAAACCCGGTTGAAGTCAAAGTAGCTGAGGGACTACGTTCATGTCCCACCATTTACAGCAGAGTGAGCAAAGTCATAGTATAAAGGGACGCTGGCTCTATGACAGAGAACCACTATCAGCCATGGAGAATCCTAGCAAAACACCAGAAATGACGGATACACAAGGAGAGGTACCGCTATACACACAGTCGACTTCGATTGAGGAGCCCCCGCTCCTCGGTATTGCAACCGCGCTGCCGGTAAGAATAAGATATGAACAGACAGGACCACGCTGACCAGACAGACCCAAACCCGCGACATAGAGAAGCAGACTTTGGCTGTAGAGCCCTTCCGACCCATACTCGAGGTCTTGAAGCAAATTGAAGGAGAAGATACCGAGCTTGCATTTCGGGCAGCACGTCTGGTGGGGTGCATTCGGTGTTTGTGGGAGTCTTGCGTTTCCAAACATACAGATATCCAGCAGCTCGAAGAGGAAAACGAAAAGCTGCGGTCCGGGAATATTCAGCTATGCAACGAGGGAAACCACTTGAAGCGCAGCCAAGATGAGCAAGTAGCTCGCTTGCACGCTATAGATGATGCGTTGGATGAAGTACGGGGAAGGCTCATCGGTGTGCTCAAAGTTTGGAATGAACGGTCTGTCGGCGACTTGGCCATTTTGCCGGAAGATGGGTTTCCTCAATGTTAGTGATTGAAGTTGAACAGGTCAAAGTTGTTTCGAAGCTTTGAACTGCCGCAATGCTTCAAGCAAGTGTACGACGATAGCAAGGTTTTGCTAGCCCGCCAATAGATCCCTTGATTCTGTGTTCCTAAATGTCGTTGTCTACCACAGTTGTTGAACAAGTTGATCTCTCACCGACTGCACTTCCAGCGCTCCGGACAGCGTAATTTGACAAGATCATCCAGGTGGTCATGATGAATAATTGCAGCTGCGAAAGTCAGCAAAGTCGGGAGTTTCCTCGTGCGCGGCCAAATTACCTGTAGAGATAGCAGCCAGCAGTGCAGGACAGCTCCGAAAAGGGCAATCATAAGAATCAAAGCTGCCAATCCGACTGTGAAAACCAAAGCACAACGTAGTTGTAAGCGAGTCCGGGAATGGACCGTTGTATACCCATGCAGCCACCATAAGAGAGAAGCCAAGCTCAGATAATCCACAAAGTGAAGAAAGAGTACGGCATCTCGCAGTGGGGAGAAAACATAAACACCAGCTAGTGTGGCTGTAGTCTTGATCAAACACGAGAAAATGCAAAACAGTGGAAAACAGATCATCAATGAGGATGGTGTGGTGATGAGGCTTCGTAGCAGGATGCTCATTCGGAGGGACTGATGCTTGGTGGTCAACGTAAAAACCGAAAAATAGCCTTGTGGTACGTACCACCAGTAAGAAGGGAAATATGCTGGTTATACCGAGTATTACATCTCTTACGACCTCACTTTTTCCGGCCCAGCTCAGTCCTATATAAACTACCAGTAAAACATCGTTCGGTACTGACACTGCAAGGTCAAGGGCCAGATGTAAACGGTTATCCCGGACTGCTCGACGAGACAATTCGAAACGGACGAGGCTGGCAACTAGCAGCACGGTAGCTAGGGCTGTATGCACCGTAGGCGGAACCTGCATGACTGGCTGGCTTACTGGCAACGTTCAAGTATCAAGGGACTGAATTGAATTTATTCTCAGCATTACCTGCTACAGGGTTAGTTATGATATTATGCTAAAAGGCTCAGTAATCCTTTCCGATTTGTAACCATCGCTTGTAAGCCGATACCGCCGAGTCTCCTTCTGGGAGCCGAATGAATGGCCCTAGGAACGGAACGGTTGTTCCTAGGTGCCCAGAAACTCCTAGGAACACATGCTTGGACCCCGGGAACCAGCCTTCCATTCCCAGGTACCGAGCAGCTTCTAGAACCTCATAACTATAGACATCTATTGGCTAAAGATGAATTCAACAAGCTCAGGCCTCTAGGAGCGTCACTGGCTCTCCCAGGAGCGAACTATGGTACTGTGAGGGTCTCACGTATACATAGAGGTGGATAGTGTTTCAAGATGAACAATCAATGTTAAGAACAACTATAGTTGACTCTAGATACAAGACGTAGCGCGAGGAAGCAAAAGAAAGGTAGCTTCCTCGCGTTCAGGGGAACCCATGTACACCATGTGGGTCCCGCGCGGATCATATCTCCATCCGTTCCGCATGCTTCATCTATATCCCTGACATTACCCCCTCCTAAACAACTAGGAGCTCCTGCGACGCCATAGCTCAGTAGGCGAAGGCCGTTCTGGGTTCTGGCTGTGGAACTCATACAAGAGCTCGCCACTCCCTGGGACCAGGTCCTGTTGGGGCCGCCACGAAGAAGGGTAGCCTTTCCATTTCACGTAGTACTCCAGTCTTCTCTTTCCATGTCGATTCTTGGTGACGCGTGAATCCAATATCTTTTCAATCATCCACTCTCTTTTCTCGGTGTTATCTTTATTCAATCTGACTCGGTGCTGAATAGGTTCGTTTTGGCTAGGGAAGGGGTCCAAAGCCGCTGGGCGGAGCAAGCTCGTGTGGAAAACGTCGTGAATTCTCATTGCTGGGGGAAGCTCCAATCGATACGTGACTGGGCCCATGACCTCTGCAACTCGGAATGGTCCAATGAATTTCTCCGAGAGTTTCCTGGCCGGTCGTTCTATACTCAAATTCTTTGTCTCTAGCCACACTTCGTCTCCCTCGCGATACTGTGGTGCTGGCATTCGATTCTCGTTTGCGTACTCGGCGTGTTGCGCTTGACTCATGGTCATCTCTGAACGTAGTATCTCTGTGAGTCTTGCCATTTCGTTCGCGAAGGCGTCTGCGGCCTCGATATCAATCTGTTGCTTCGCGGGAAGTTTTCGTGTTCCTTGGGGCGGTTCATGTCCCATTCTCGGGTGTTGTCCGTATACGGCGTAGAATGGTGTCACACCGGTTGTCGCCGACTGGTGATTGTTGATTGCAAATTCGGCAAGAGGTAACCAGTTGACCCAGTCGTCCTGCGAATAGTTGACGTAAGCCCGGAGGTACTGCTCTAGCCCTTGGTTAGAGTTCTCAGATTGGCCGTCTGATTCTGGGTGGTAGGCAGTAGAGAGCCTGGTCGAAATCCCTAATCGCTGGCAAAGCCGCTGCCAAAGACGGGAAGTGAACTGTGTCCCTCTGTCGGATACAATTGTCGTTGGTAGTCCATGGTGCTTCCATACGTGGTGCAAGAACAACTGTGCCGTGTGCTTTGCATTCGTAGATCCACACGCAATGAAGTGTCGTTGTTTCGAAAGTCGATCGGTCACGACCATGATGTTCTTGCAGAACTGGCCTGTCGTTTCATTTTTGCTTCTTGGTAGCTCGACAATGAAGTCTACTGCTATGTCTTCCCACCTCGCCCGCGGCGTGCCCAGAGGTTGCAAAAGCCCCTGGTAGGGCAGTCGTGACGCTTTGGATCGCGAGCAGGTGTGGCAATTGCGTACATATCGTTTCACGGTTTGGCCCATCTTGGGCCAGTAGTAATTTCGTGAGAGCAGTTCGTAGGTTTTGGCTCTCCCGGGATGTCCCGCGGCAGCATTGTCATGGCACGATCGCAGGAGACGGAGACGTAGTTCATCGTCATCCGGCACGAACATTCGATCTTTCACAAACAGTCTTCCATCTTTTCCCACCATTTCGTTGATGGGGATCTTGAGTCGAGTCAGCTCTGTCGGTAGCTGGCGGTCGTGCGTGTTTATAGTCTCTCGTATCTTTGCTGATATTGGGTCCTTCGTATAAGCAGCGGTGATCAACTCATCGAGAGGTTGCTGCGTATCGCCTTGATTTTCGTCTAACGTATTCTGTTTCAAGGCAAGCGGATGCATGCCGGGTGAGATGTTGTGTGGCTTGATCACTGTCTGGTCTTGATGTCGTAGCCTCTCGTCGTCATCCGTTTGTGGCATATCTGACGACCGTCTGGTCAAAGCATCTGGTTTCCCACCCTGTGCTCCTGGACGATAGACGAGTTTGAAGTCGAACCGTGAGAGAAACTCGCTCCATCGCGCTTGTCGCCGACTGAGGCGCTTGGTTGTCATGAAATGTTGGAGGTTCTTGTGGTCACTGATCACCTGTACAGGAGTGTCTGCACCTTCCAGCTCGGCTCGCCATTCTTCAAAAGACTGTACAACAGCCATGAGTTCTTTGTCGTAGATGTCATAGTTGCATTCCGCCGGTGACAACTTGCGGGAAAAGTATGCGACTGGGTGCAGGGTCCCATCCGAATCAGGCTGTGACAAGCAGCCTGCATTGACGTAATCCGATGAATCGCACTCGATAGTGCTAGGCTTGTCTGGGTCAAAATGTCGTAGAATTGGTGCTGAGGTGAACGCTTCCTTGAGATCTTCGAACGCAGTCTGGCATTTCTCGTCCCATGTGAATGGGGTATCTTTCTTGGTCAATCTGGTGAGAGGGTTGGCTTTTGCGGCAAAGCCCTTGATGAACCTTCGGTAGAAATTCGCAAAACCAAGAAAACTTTGGATGTCCTTGATGTTTTGTGGGGTCGGCCACTCTTTGACGGCAGAGACCTTCGCCGGGTCCATCTGGATGCCGTCCGTACTCACGATGAGGCCCAAATATTTCACTTCCTGTACGTGGAATTCACACTTTGCAATGTCGGCCTGTAGCCCATGCTCTTTCAGGCGTTGTAATACCTGTCTCACGTGTCTCTTGTGTTCTTTCAATGAATTGCTGTAGATCAAAATGTCGTCTAGATATGCCGTGCAAAAAAGGTCGAGATACCCCCTCAGGGCGTCGTTCACATAGTGTTGGAAAGAAGCAGGGCCATTCGTCAGCCCGAAGGGCATCACAAGGTATTCAAACAATCCATATCTCGTCCGGAACGCGGTCTTCCATTCGTCTCCCTTGGCGATGCGAAGACGATTGAACGCCGCTATGATATCCAGTTTGGTGTAGTACTGAGCTTTGCAGAGCCGATCTAGGGTCTCTCGGATCAATGGGATCGGGTATCGGTTCTTTACTGTGAGCGCATTGAGGGCTCGATAGTCCACACAGAATCGTAGCCCGCCTCCCGGTTTTCGAACAAACAGAACTGGAGAGGCGGCGGGTGATCGCGATGCTCGAATAAATCCTTTCCCTAAGTTTGCCTCCAAATATTCTCGTAAGACGAGGAGCTCGTCTCGGGACATGTCGTACAGCGGCCCGAATGGCGGTTCGGTGTCTTTCTTTAGCCGTATTTTGTGGTCGTAGCTGCGGTGCGGTGGGAGCTTGTCGGCTTCTTTCTGCGAAAACACGTCGAGAAACTCATGATATTCCAGAGGCAGTTTTTCTTTAGGGTCAATTCTGATCTTAGGGGCCAGTGCCTTCTCTATATCTGCCATCGAGGCAGCGAAGATGGTGAATTCTTCGGATCTCTTTCTTGCTTTGTCTGTCAAGTAGAGAAAGGGGGACGCTCCGATCATGCGAATGTCGAGCGTATTCCTTTCGGTATCTTTCGTCGGTTTCTTCATCGTTTCTTCTTTTGTGATTCCGTCAATCTCGATACTTTTCTTCATTCCACAATGGTGGTGACAATGTGCAGAATCAAATGTCAACGTGTTATTTTTCCATGAGATTGTCGCATCGTGGTACTTCAGCCAAGGGATCCCGAGCACAATCGGTTGCCGGCTCAACTTGGTCACAAAACAGGGTAAAGTCTCTCTATGCCCCTGTATATTCATCGGTATTCGTGTCATATGGGTAATCCGCCCCGCGACCGATTGTCTTCCGTCGACGACCTCGAGCCGTCGCGGATGGCGTAACGGTTCTAGTTTCAAATCGTGTCTTTGCGCAAAAGTTTGATCAATAAAAGCCATTCCATTTGCTCCGCTATCGACAAGAGCATCTATTTGCAAATTCCTTCCATCCTTGTGGAGAGTGCATGGCAGGATGAGGTGATGACCATCTAGTTTCACCTTCTGCTGCCGCACAGAGCAAGCGGAGATCTTTATTGATCGTACTTCGTACTTCGTCAGTCCTAAATCGCGACTTCGATCTAGGACATTTCTTTTCCCTCAACGACTGTGCTTTCATCGTCGGTGTCAGATTCCATCGTTGCATTGTTTACCTTTGCTGTTCCGCGACCAGCAAGGCGTGGCATCTCCTTCATCTGCGGGTTTGTGCACTCGTGGATCCGATGTCCATGCTCCCCGCACTTGTAGCACCGGCCATGCTGGGCGAGCAAGGCACGATCTACCGAGCGCAGAACATAGCCTTCAGATCGTGCGGCGAGGGGTGTCTGTCTTGGACGTGACTTTTCGTATTGCGGATTGGTTCGGGTGGTTCCAACTACGCGGTTTGGCAACCGTCTTTCGTAATCACGCATCTCATGATCAACGTCACGATAGAAATCTACCAAGTCGTAAAAATCTGCGGGTCTCTGCAACCCGATGACTTGTCGTGCCAATTCGTTTGAGATTGCATTCTCGAGTAGCGGTATCATAGCATCTTCAGCGTATCCAACTTCCGCAGCGCAGCGGGCAAAGTCGGCATAGAAGTCATCAAAACTCCTCCTTCCCATGCGCAGGGTGCGCAGTTCATTGATGGCCCTTTTCCTCTTGTTCTTGTCACCGTAAATCTTTTCTAGGGCTTCCAATGCATCTTCGGCGGACTGAAAGCAGCGTGGATGATCGGGTCGGCATTGAGCCCGTATCTGCTGATACGCGACTCCATCAGTGCGACTACGAATGTACGCAATCCGTTGCTGTTCAGTTGGGTATTGAGCGGCGCTGTTGTTCAGCTTGTCATAGACTTTGTCTCTCCAGCTATCGAACGCGTCGCGATCTCCTGAGAATACAGGTGCATCAGGGAACTTTGGATTATCGAAGCGTCCTGGGCTGGTCGTGTAAAGTGGGTGCGAACCGCCTCGTCGTATCGGTTCAGTTCGGGCGTCCAGAGAGGCCTCATGTTGAGGAGCACGGTTTTCGTTGGTTCCTTCCGCAACTGGCGTCGTCTGTCTCGTCGTATTCAGCAGCGCAATGATTGACTGATCGCGATCACGCTCTCGGTGTGCTCCGTCCAACTTCGAAGTCAGTTCCTCGACTCGCTTCTCTGCCATGTCTCTTTGGACGGTCATACGGTCTCTTTCACGTCGCAATTCTCGGTTGTCTTCGCCTAAACGTATGACTTCTTCCCGGATCATCTGATCAGTCACCTGATTTGTGTTCATTTTTGCTTGTTTGTCCATGGCAACCAGAACGTCCCACCAAAATTCGAAATGGTGTCGCAGTCGTGCTAATTGTTGCGCTCTGTCTAGAACGCAGATCGCTCGAGTAGGGCGTAGTGGGTGATTCGGGCTCACATAGTCAAACGCATCAATCATCGGAGTCACGCCCGTACTTTCTGCTGGCGTTGTCTTGTCCCCTTCGTTGCTGGGCTGGTAATCGTCATCGTCAGAGCCATCGTCATCGACGATGGTAGCTTCTCGTGCTATCACGGTGTCTCTTCTTGTCCGTCCTCTCCATTCTACTTCCTCGGCTCCTCGAGCGTTAGGATTCTCATTGTTGGACTTGGACGTCATGTTGTCCTTGTTGTCTGTTGTCTTTGTTGTCTGTTGTCTGTTATCGTTTGGTTGTCTGTTATCGTTGGTTGTCTGTTATCGTTGGTTGTCTGTTATCGTTGGTTGTCTGTTGTCTTTGTTGTCTGTTGTCTTTGTTGTCTGTTGTCTTTGTTGTCTGTTGTCGTCGGTTGTCTGTTGTCGGGGTTGGCGCTACGTAATGTGAGGGTCTCACGTATACATAGAGGTGGATAGTGTTTCAAGATGAACAATCAATGTTAAGAACAACTATAGTTGACTCTAGATACAAGACGTAGCGCGAGGAAGCAAAAGAAAGGTAGCTTCCTCGCGTTCAGGGGAACCCATGTACACCATGTGGGTCCCGCGCGGATCATATCTCCATCCGTTCCGCATGCTTCATCTATATCCCTGACAGGTACATGATTTTCTCATGTTCATTGGAATTTTGTAAAAGCTTTTATAAAGATGCCTCGTTCCCCGCGGTGTCAAGGAACAGACATAACTTCCCATACTCTTCAATCATTCCAATTAACTTATTATCACGATTACGTCTCGGTAAGATCTCCAAAATCGCTTAAGACAAGCGACGGCATGCTGATTTATTTTCAAAGCCCACAGCCTACTGCATTTGCATAATACACCACAATGTCTCAATGCCAAAAAGGAATCCCATTGTTCTTTCACCACGAAGGCTATTACGAAATAGCATGCACCATAATGGACCAGCTGACGGCTTCTGATGTTGGCGCCCTCTTGGCTTCACTTCGGATTACACCACCCCAGCATATAAAAGAAAGGTTCTTACAGCCACTACGAGACTTTGACCATACCATGCGACTGTTTGAGCCTTGGTTCCATGACAAATGTCAGATTCTGATCATCGGCCCGGACACCGTTCGATTGAGTGACCGAATCTTCAAGTCCGAGGATTACTACAAGGGGAAGCCCTCACATCAAACTCAGCTCGAGGTGTGCATTTTTGCGATCCCCGACAACTTTGAGAAAAGTGTCGAGGAGATCCGACGTCTCAGACACTGTTATCATGCCTTGTCATTATTCTCTAGGCGGGAGCGTATAGAAGCGCTGATTACCGGAGAAGAGCTTCTCGAAAATAATCTTATTAGACAGATCAAGAGCATAGAGCCCTCACCATGCAAGGTCTCTGGAGAGTACTTAGATGTCAAAGTTTTTGATCTTTTTGGCTCAAGCACACATCGGTATCTACAACCACATCTAATCGGCCTTGAATTTGCGGGAATGGAATTTGGCATCGAGTGGAACGTTAAGGATCCAATGTCGAAAGATGACTGTTGGAAGGCAAGACAGGGAATTCCTTACATTGAGGCTGCCAGCTCTCGCGATATCAAGGTCGCTGTGAAAGACCGTTCGCGCCGTCGAAAACCCCAAAGCCTGGTATTCCACTCCGAGTACCCGGATTGGGACCCGCAAACAACAGTTTCTATCCCTATCAGCTCGGTATGAACACTTGCGCCTCGTCCCAACAGATGTACTGGCAGTTGGTCAATTTGTGGTAATAAATGAGTACTGTAAATAGAACATGATCTTGTGTTGAAACAGCGCAAGTAAAATTACTTCCATGCTAAGCCGCCTGGTTTTTGGGCTTGATGACACAGACCCCGGGGCGTTAGACACAGAGCCAGAGACACAGTAGATTATAAGATGCGGTCTCAAGGCCTGCTAAGCTATCAGAATGCCAGCTAGCGTCCCATACGATTTCATGGCCGGCTTACCCACAGGCCTCCTACAGATAAATGCCTGATGCCTGGAAAGTATGTAGACACGTTGTTCAGACACTATTGGGTCCTCTGCTAGCCTGACGGAAGCTCCTGAATCCAATTACTGGGCCCTAGGAGCAAGTATCACGATCCCAGGAGCGAGAGTACCTTAGCATTCAAAGTAGGTGATGCCAAATCAAATGATACCGGATGTATTGTAGGACGTCAGCAAAGCTGTACCCTCGAAAAACAGTTAAATAGAGACCATGGCCGCAAAGACTTGAAAGTTTCAAACCTACCATTCAATTATCGGAAGTGATAAACCGTTTTGGCAACCAGAAAAGACCAAAATGCCTCCACAGGGAAGACCAGTGGCGCTTCAGAGCCCCTTTCAAATTTCGAACCATCATCGAGGTCAGTCGCCGGGGTCAAAGATAATGACAGCCCTAGCTAACGTCGGCTCAGGCAGACAACATCCAACTCAAAGAGTTGAGGGCATCATTATGAGCATACGTGCTGAAATGTCGAGAATGCAACATGGACACAAACAGGCAATTCTGATGCTGCGAAACCACGAGAACATGCTGCGGGCTCTCGCGAATGAAAAAGCCAGTTTGGAGGAGCAAAATCGGTCTTTGTTTGAACATATCAAGATACTTCAGCAAGAAAATTGCGTCCTAGAGTTGAAGAACAACCAACTGAAGTCTCAACTGGCAAAGATGAGGCAGCAGTACCCGGAGTCGCCCGATGAAGAGCAACCTCAGAGGCCTACCTAGATCACACTGTGAGGTATTCAGTATAACCAGCAATATCGTTACTCGCGAGAAAGAAAGAAGGATTATGATGCCATGACCGGTCACCAGATCAGATATCGGAGGAGACAATGCTCAATTTTGTATGTTGGACACAAATATCATTTTGCTGCGGGATTGCGTGGAAAACCAACCGTGTAATAGTTCGCTAGAGCCCGCCAGAATGTGCCGGAAGAAACCACAACCATCTTATTACCTACGACCACAAATCCAAAGACATTGCTAGAAAAACAATGGAAATAACACAACACTCAGGCGTCTCTATAAGAATAAGTGAACTTTCCCTAGGCCAACAGCCAAAATAATGGCCCCAATCCGGTCAAAGTGGTATCAATGGATTGCTGACACCTCTCTCCCTAACATGTACGCCATTTCAGTGGCCATAACTATAGCAATTTGCTTGATCTATTGGTTTACGCGAGATGCGTGGCGCTGGGGGTGGACAGGACGCCATGTGTTCTGCCGTCGCCGTTTCCGATCGAAACTACTAGTTCCTTGGAGACGGTTTGCCTTCGTCCACCTGCCAAGATACATGCATTGGCTGGACATCTCCAACTACCGGCAAGTGCTAATCCTGGCCGTCATGATAGCGGGGAACATTGTTGGCCTCCGGCTTCGAGCTCATTCTTGGGCGGAAGCACAGAAAAGGGCTGGCTCTATGGCGGTCATCAATATTGTGCCCCTGTGCACCGGTATCAGCTTTGGTTTCTCGGCAGATCTACTCCACGTGGACCGCCAAATGCTTGCATGGTTCCATCGCTGGGTAGGTCGCATTTGTGTGCTCCTCTCTGTGTTACACTGTTCGCTACTCGTTACTGTCACCAGAACGATGAACCTGGCAAACCCACGGCACATTGTTCCAATAGCCGTAAGTCAAAGATATCCCGTGGCTAAGTGTGCGTATTGTGCAGACTAACATCACATCCAATATAGGCCGGTTGTGCTCTCGTTCTCGTGATACCGGTAACTTGTGCGCCGGTCCAACGGCGACATCCGCAGTTTGCGATGAAATGTCACTACCTTCTTGCAGCAACGGCGATTGGCGCGCTGATATACCATCTCGTGGAGCAACAGACACTCTATCGGTGGTACCTGGTAGGCGCTATCTGCCTGTGGGTTTTCATTAGCGTTGTTGTCTGCATAATGGCCGCATGGGACCAGAAGCCCTGGAAATCTTCTCGAAATGAGGTAGTCATGAACTCTGTGAGCCATTTCCTTTGGCTTGACATAGAGCTACCCCTCAACCGAGCGATTCGCCCTGGCCAGTATGTGCAGCTTTGGATGCCACGAGCCGGCTTTCGCGCTTTCTTTCAGCTTCCTCGGTTTTATATTGCTTTCTGGGAAGATGGACCAACTCAAAGAATAGTCCGTATGGTAGCAGAGTCTCGACCTGGGCTTGCACGAAGGCTGTACCACGAAGCACTGAGATCCCCAGCCAAGCAGTCGGCCATCATATTCGGACCCTACGGACACCCTCTGGATTTCTATCGGTTCGGTACCGTCCTCTTCGTGGTAGAGGACATCGGGTTTTTCCGAGCGCTTTCATACATCGAAATGTTAGTGGAGGCCAGCCGCAAGCGCGAAGTGATGGTGCGAAAACTAGAGGTTCTCTGGAAGCGACAAGTTGGCAAAGATGGCATGTTTTTATCCCCGACAAGTACTTGAAATCTGAAAGCCACCTTGGCTGACTGAAGTTCTGGCAGAAAATCCTCAATGGGTAAATAAATGGATGCAAGACCTTTTCAATCGCGACTGGAGATCGTTCAAGGTGAGCTTTTTGCTAGTGCAGCTCATCCTGGGCGCTGTGATCTGACCGTGCTTCAGATTTTGCGATTCAGCATCTACTGCCCGCGTACTCAGTCAAGCCCCCAGGAAAACCTTTCCTACGAGCATAACGCAATGCTTTGTTACTTTTTTGGCTCTATCAAGATCGAGGAAGAAGTTGCACGGCATCTCAATAACCGATGCGGAGCTATGGCTGTAGCGGGTGAGTGTCCCCAGTCCAACATCCTACCATCATCGCTCGTTGAAAAGGCGCAACATTGCGGCTACCATGCTAACAGCCCATACAGTATGTGCAGGTCCATCAATAAGTGGGGCTGTGACGAAAGCTGTACAGCCACACGCAGGGAGGAATCTCCAGCTGACCGTTCTCGACCCCGATATGAGCCCTGCACCGGATGGTGATGAAGATTTTTCTGGCAGCGTCAAGTCTGCAGTAGACTGCCAGGCTCCAGCACACCAAGCCTCAGGGGCAGGGGACGATAAGCTTATCCACCAAGTACGGCGATTTCCAACGGACAGCCGAAAGCTACAGTATCCATTGCCCAAAGAAAACGATACGCAAACTGGAAAAGTCGAAATGAGCAACCACTCGAAGTGGGTGGAAAATAGATTGGCACAGGGGCGCTGAAAGCCTACGATCACAGTCACCCGAACTATGAACTTCTACCAGCGTCATTCTGCGCCCTAATAGCATAGGTTCGTTTCACCGCCTCAGTCAAATCCGCCGCGCGTCGAATCCGCTGTGCCTGCCTCTAGTGGAGGCCTCTTCGATTGACGCGGTCTCAGCACAATGGTTGAATTTTCAGCTCATTGGTAACTGTATCTTCCGCCGGCAGTTCATGTATCACAGGGAGGGCACCATGGAAAGTTTGGAGCCTGGCCTTGTTCGCCGCACAGCCGGTCCGCCTTCTTGAGCAGATCCCTTCTCGAGGGAACATTAATGGATCTCCTCGGTGCTTGACATGATAGAAAGACGATCGAGGGCCATGGCAAAGCTGGCAGCGAAGTGTGCCGATCTCGGGTAGGCTGGTGTGTGCATTTCGTCCTGTAGATTCAGCACACTCCACAGGAGGCACAGAGCTGCCTACTTTTCGGGAAGATTTTGAGGGATGAAAACATCTCTTGGATCTGTTTAATTGGCACATTATCATTTTCTGAAACAAATAGATCGTGAGCTCCTCATACCTTGCATCTATCCACAGTTTAGTGCCAATCAACCAATTCATATTCATGTGCGCCCAGAGATCGATTGAAGGCTTTCAGAAGTAAGTAAGCCCCAAATGGCACTGATTATAAAGTATACGGGAGAATGTAGAGCGAGGTAGACATCATTGGCCCATGGAAGCATTTCCGCTTTACCTCAAGCGATATTATTGATCGCACGCGAATCATATTACATCCTTGGAACACAAAAATGCATGTATAGGTGGTTAAGCGTGAAGCTATATTTTAACCTGGAAGTGAACAATGTCTTTCCACAATATGCAAACGACACCGTTCAGCTCGGCTTTGCTTGTTACCGGCCGGTTGGAAACCCGGTTGGACCACAACTTTTTGAGGCTCACAAAGCGCCAGAACACGTAGGATAACTGATTATAATCTTCCATCAGCCAACCGAAATTCTGTACTATCGGTCCTCGGCTTCCTTGCCTGCGGAAAGAAGTTGGTATTATTATTTGCTCAAAGTCCCTGTTCACCGATCGACCGACCGACCGGTCATTGCCCTCATTGATGTCATTACCGTACCGATATAAAGCGGGCAGCCCGCTAACCTGGTCGTTCACAGGTCCTCGTTTGTTAAGCATGCAACCCATGGTACTAGCCGCAATGCTCACTTTAGCTATAGCTACCGCTGTAGCGGCTGCGCCGGGACCTGAACTTAGTGTTCAGCCATGAACGTAGTAAATTAAATATTCCTTCTCACAGCTTCGCTGACGAGCTTTAGATGCTTTCTACCCCACTTCAACTCGTTGCCTGGACAGAGCCTGATTGCAATGGAGGTTTTGGTGTCACCCAATTCACTGACTCGGTTCTGGCATGAAATATCTCCGACGGCTACTTAATCGTTCAGTGACACAGCAGGGGCAGTTGGATATATCCGTCACGAGTAACTTCACTTCCTGGTACTCCAACCAAGACCAGCTGTGCTACAGCCGTTCGTCCTGTAGCAACTTTTGGCAGACCTATCACGTCGTGAATGGAACCACCGCATGGTATAACACGCCCCCATTTACTTATCACCGGTTGTGGAACAACCCAGGATTGCCCACGAAATAGATGAAAAAAGAGATAGGAAGGAATAAACAACACCATCACTGCATTTCTTGAAGTTGTTACCTACCGATCTGAGTAGCCTCCTAACTAAACGTAATTACAAAATCATATGAACCATACGCCAGTCCTACAGACGGGTTTAACTTACAGGAATTTGAGAATAGCACTGGAAACGGCAGCCAGGAAACCAGCAGCTGGGATAGCCAGAGCGGAGGCAGCACCGGTGCTTGAGGAAGCAGCGGCAGAGCTGACGGTGTTTGTGGACTTGTCATAACCCGCGGTAGCGGTGGTGTTGACACCAGAGATGTAGGTCTTGCCGTTACGGGAGTAAGTGACACCAGCGTCCAGGCCGTAGGCGGCATCGTAGGGGAAGGGCGCCGTGTAGTTGTAAGTAGGGGTACGGCCCTTATAAGTGTCGATCACGGACTGGAGGATACCGTGGCCGGCAGAGCAAGAGTATTCGGTGGCGGGCACGGGCCAGTTCGACCGGTACTTAGAGTAAGTCCCCTGGGCAAGGGGACCGGGTAGCGACTCGTTGATATACAGGTTCGTGGTATCGACATCCCAGTTAATATACCCGACCGCCTCGGCGACGGGCTTGAACAGGTTAGCACCACAGTCCCATCGACCAAGAGAAGGCAGACCCCAGTTGGCCTCGACGGAGGCAATGCTGGAGTAGTGGGTGTAGACGGTATCGTCCATGGTGCCGACCAGGTCCTTGGGGACCGCACCGCCTAGCAGGATGCTGAAAATGCGGTTGTGGAGGGTATAGGTCTCAGACTCATCGAAGGTCAGGAGCAGTAGGGTGTTGTCCCAGAAGTAGGTGTTGTTCATAAGTTCCGTGACGAAGCCGCGCAGCCAGTGAGAGCCGAAGGTGACGTTGGTATCGTGGGCATCGTTGGTCATGTTGGGGGTGATGAAGGCCCACTGGGGGAGCTGCTTCTTGTCGAGGTCTTCGTAGAAGTCGGTGAAGTTCTTGATCAGGTGCAGAGCAGTATCATTGCTGGAGATCTGGTCGAAAAGAACTAGGGGGTTATGTTTGCGCACGTAGTCGTTGGCATAGGTCTTCTGGTTGGAGTAGTTGTAGCCCTGGAAGCCAGCGTAAGGCTGGGCCTGTTGATACTCGCCCCATGAGATCCCCTTGATGTTCAACAGGTCGGCCACGGTCGACACATTGGAGGGAATGATGTGGAAGTCGTCTGCAAGTCAGAAGTTAGTTCCTGATCGGCAAGGACATGCACGCCTGTCGCGTGGTTGGCTTCCAAGAGATAGTTTGACTCACCATTATCCATGCCGTAGTTGTCTCCACTGGCAGCAGCGCAGTAGTTGGGTTCGGAGGGGTGACCAACACCATAGTAGTTGGTTAGCGAGATACCATTGCTGGCCAGCCACTGCTGGTCGTCGTCACCGGCAGCAGCACTGTAGTCCTGGGGGAAGTAAGTATCCCGAGACGAAGTCAAGTTAACGACAGGGAAGGCAATCGATACATACGACATTCTCCAGCCAGATCTGGTAGAAGCGGTCAAAGGCCTTGCCTGTGATGTTAGAGGTCCAAACCTGGGGGACCGTGGTCGCTTGGGCGGTTCCAATGGCGGCAACGGCAGGCTCGCTGGTGGTGATGGTGGCACCAGCAGCATAACCGGCCAATGCGAAAAGAGCAGCAACAGAGGCCATGAAGGGCGAGGTTGAACGGTATTCCGACCGAGCGAGGTAGAGTAGAAAGTGGCTGGTTCCTAGCAAGAGTGCAAGATTGGTGCTCTTTATACTCCTTCCCCGGGGCCGAGTGCATTGGACGATCCCGCAGCGAGTCAGTACGTCAGAACGACAGCACGTTCCTACGGTGTCTCGGCAGGGTTTGGCAAGGGGTGGAGGCGTTGGAAATGTATGCACCACGGTTGGTGGGGACAGTCCAAAACAAATGGGAGAGGCTAAACCGCAGAAGCCCTAGACTACCTAGAGCACACTCTAACCCTTTCTGGCACTCTCTAATCTCCTGTTCCGGCTAGGGCGGGGCTAAGCTTTCGTCAAGCTTTCTTGACTCGGCTCAGCGCACTCTTTATCGGCCAATCGCCATTGACTCGCTCCAAATCCTACGGCTAACCGGCTTATCCCACGTGCTCTGACTCTTGCACATGGCCAGAGGGCGCATCTTGATTTGTTCCGTCGGTTGGTGCGAGCACATCCAACTGTCCATCCACGGGGGTTTCATTCTCAGCCGATTGCAAATTGGGTTTGGGATTCTTATACGAAGAAGCATCCGGTAATTGTTACGAGGATTCGATACAACTCTGATGAATTATCAACTGGAGGATGAGTTTCCCACCACGGCTTCAGGAAAGACTTCCAGCCCCTCCGGGCGGGGAGGACCAGTGGTTCTCGCGTCGGCCAGCATTGGCCTATTCGTTGTATTAGCCCTGGCCTTGGGGTTGGGCCTGGGTCTTGGCTTGAGGCACCATAATTCAACCTCGACTTTGGCTTCAGCGAGCTCAGCTTCGTCGCTTGATTATAACTTGCCGCTGGGAAACGAGTCATGGCGCCAGTCTCCGTCGGAGTATGTGCTGAACATGAAGGGCTGGGATTACAGTGCCTCATCAACAACACGGTCATACAATTTCACGGTGTCGGAGATCGACGCGTTTCCAGATGGTAAGTGGGAGTGAGTGTAGTTAAGGCTCAGCAAACGCTAACGTCAAGTTCAGGAGTTCTACGTAAAGTCCTGGTAGTCAACGGAAAATACCCAGGGCCAATGATCAGATGCAATCGCGGTGACAGGCTGTTGATAAATGTGACAAATGAAATGTCCAACTCGACAACCATCCATTGGCACGGACTGTACCAAAATGGTACCAATTGGATGGATGGTACTGCTGGTATCACTCAGTGTCCTATTCCTACAGGGCGCAGCTTTCTATACAACTTCACTGTGGAAAACCAATATGGCACGTTCTGGTGGCACTCTCACAAGGACACTCAGCGCATGGACGGTCTCTTTGGACCCCTTATCATCCATGCACCAGAGGAAGTCGAATATCAGAAACGGTATGGGTACACCAGCGATCAGATCATTATTCTACAGGACTATTATCATGATCTCAGTTCCGCATTGTTGCCCACCTACCTAGCGCCTGAAAATGAAAACGCGGAACCTGTGCCAGACAATGGGCTCATTCAAGGAACAAATTAGTATGTCCTATGATCTGCCGGATGTCGTCCTCTCTTGCTGACTGAAAATAGCTTCAATTGCTCCTCCTATGGCCCCAACAGTGGCTATACCTGTTACGACAACTCCACTCGGGCTCTTCTTTCTGTTCAGCAGAACACGAAGACGCGATTTCGACTGATCAACATGGGAGGTTTTGCCACATTTGAATATGCAATTGACAACCACACCGTGACAATCATCGAGGGGGACAGCACGATGGTCGAGCCGCTGCCACGGAAGTCATTGAAGATTGCTCCTGCGCAGCGCTATTCATTTATTGTCGAAGCTAATCAGCCCGTCACGAATTACTGGATGCGCGCCGAAATGGAGACAAACTGTTTCGCCACTACGAATGACGTGCTTAATAGTACAGCTTATGCTATTCTGGCGTATGACAATAGCACAGTTATTCCAGGATCAGGTTCTGTCTCACAGAGCTTCGTTTACGATCCGCTGTGTGAAGACTTCGACTCCTCGCTACTCCTGCCGTCTGTCGGACAGGAAGCACCCGCGGCGGAAGAATTTTTCGTTATACAATTTGGATTCCAGAGCAGGGACTATGCTATAGACTTGGCTTATATCAATGGCACGACTTGGAAAGAATCTGAGGTGCCAACACTCAACCGTATCCTGCCTCACCTTCGTGCTAGCAACAGCACCTACAATCGGACAGGGCCGGCGCCATCATACGTAACTAACCAATTTATTCTCGACATCCCGGAAAACCGAGTCGTTGACATTTTGCTCCAGAATTTCGATGACGGTTCGCACCCGTTTCATCTGCACGGGTACGACTTCTGGGTCATGGCAAGTTCTAACTCACAATACTTCGATTATTCGAGGTATCACACACTGAACCAGACTAATCCAATGCGCCGCGACACGGTAATGGTCGACGCCTATGGCTGGACATTGATCAGAATACAAGCGGACAACCCTGGCCTGTGGGCGTTGCACTGTCACATCGCTTGGCATGTGGCAGCGGGCCTGCTGATGCAGCTCCAGACACGGGATGATTTGATGAAAGATTGGACGCTACCTGATGATGTTTTGGATCTATGTAATGCATGATATTCTTACATATAGCACTTGCCCTGAGAGGCTGTACATTGTGAACTTTGTTAAATTTGTTGTCGCTTAATGGACAGGCTTAACACGACGGGCTTGAAAATAACTCGAATTCTTGGAAGCCATAGCTGTTCAATGTCAGTCCAATGGGCCACGAGCGCTTGTAGAATCGTCTACAAGAACTGCCTCTTCCCTGCAACTAATTGGTTGAAGCTCCTGTAGTCTTATAAAGAGTGAGAGAACATCAAAATCTGTGCCCACTGAAAACATGTAATCTTTACAAGTCGACCAACAGATAGAGGCATTTCCGCCACTCAGAACCACCGTGGAGGTCCTGGAACCTCGTGGTGGTGGTGAATTGCACGCGTTTGGACACCCCCACCGCAGCTCCTCACCGTGCAGCGGCCTGGACACCCCAACGCAGCTGCTCTCTGAGGCACTCCCAGCCCCTCTAATCGACCTGTGGATGCCTCTGACAGAACCAGAACATGAACTGACCCCATAACCAAGCCACGAGGTGCGAACGGCCAAGCTTGGACACAGGTATTTTGGACACGAGCAAAGCACTCGCAGGACTACTAGCCTAAGTGCAAACAGCTTACCAGAACCATCTGAACAGATAGAGGCGCAGCTGACTGAAGAGCTGCAGAGCTGGAAGGCTGCGCAGCAAGCTCGTGAAGACCTGCACACAGGACCACGCTTGAAGAATAGGTCACCAAGATCTGCAGAGAACTGGAACAGGTCCAAAGATCGACACAGGTGCAAACTGCCACAGAGCACACCTATGGTCAGCTAGCGGTCCAAGCGAACCACCGAGCCCTGGATCAAGCGTCGCCGCCCACCCAGAGACAGCCGCCAAAACCCAACCCACGTCTCGTCACTGTTGTGATATGAGTCATAGGGTGCTCAGGAACGAAGCCACAACATCGGAAATAATTCTTGCACTATCTATGGCTTACCCCACCCTCACCGCTACGCTTTTGGGTCCCTCAGCTAACTCACTGTTCTCTTCCCTAACTTCTCTGTTAATCTATTTTTTTCTTAATAGTCTAATGGGAATTATTAATTTCAGCAACCAAAATCAAATGGTGTCTATTTTCTAAGTATTACTCCGCCAGTCCGCCTGGTCGGGGCTTGCCCAGGCTGGCCGCGGCAAGCGGCAACCTGTGACGGTTCATGGATGCTTGGGTTTACCACTACGCCTTCTGGCCAAAAAGGCACAATGTTTGGTCAGCGACCAAACACGCAAGCTACTATATATGCTCGATCTCTGACACAACCAAAGTGCGTTCCTGGGACGCCAACTTGACCCTGGAAGGAGGGATTTTGAGAAGCCAAAATGCCAATTGGGAAGGTACTCTCGACTGTATAAATGCTCTAAATAGTCGGGTCTTGTCACAAGGAAACTTTGTTGTGTGCGACTTTTCTTGGTTACGCAGAAGCTTTCTCAACAAAAAGCTTATCTCCCACACTTTCCTTGCCTCTTCTCTGGGTTGTTCCGGGCCTCCCCTCCCCGAGGGGTTCCGAGTCTGGGGATCTCGCTCTTTACTCCGCCGTGAAATACGGAGGTACATGGATTCTTTGTCGGGGTATCACCGCATGCAGTGTGCGTTTGACTAGTGCCGTCGGATACGTGAATCTCGCGTCATTAACGGATGGGCGTAGTAGCGCACGGTCTGGGGGACATGCAACGGCGTTCGTTTCATAGGCGGGGACCCACGTGGCCTATCCTTGTCACCTAGACACTTCTACCTTCACTTCTACCTTCACTTCTACCTTCACGTTTACCCGGGTTGCTACTGAGAATGGATCGAAATGCCATCGGTATCAATCTTGTGGGCCTCCTGGGGGTCTGGGACCGCGGTGGCTGGAGAAGCTTGAGGGCGAGAAACCCGGTCCATTGATTCGGCTGCCACTAAACGTTTGAGATAACGCACGTGTACAACGAACTAGACTGTCTCAAGCGTCTATACCCTTTTAGTGGCCGTGCCTCGGGCAACTTCAGATTACCGATTGGAACCTGAGTACCAGGTAGTGAGGGTTTGATTTGTGTCGAGCTGAGAGATATTACCACTAAGAACTGGCTGACTCAGCGACTACCCATTCCTCCATATGTTTTTGAATGATAAACCGGGTCAACTCGGAATACCCGCGTTGTAACACGCAATACTAGCCTTACTAGCCTCTTAGGCTATGAGACGCTCTCAACAGCGGTCTCCAGGATAGTTCTTCAATCAACTCATTCAATTGTTTCCCTCAGTACTAGCATATACGGAAACCCTACGACTCATTAATTTGTCCTACCAGGGAAGTCCAGTTAGGATGGGCGCCACATTACTTTCCAGCGAATCGCTCCGTTGGTAATTCGGCGGAGAATACAGCACCAAAGTGCTCCGTCAGTAGGTATTGATAGTACCTCGAAGCAAAACTCATAGACCCCTATTCCCATCCCAGCGTGGGCGCTACCTAGGTCATACTGGTGAGACGCCCCAATTTTGACTTTTTTTGTAATATCGCTCACTTTTGTACTATCTGCTGATCTGCTTTGGGTCAATATTGGTTTCTGTGGCGTTGGTGCAACCATGGGTCATTCGAGCGTATTTAAAGATGACCTGGCTCCTAAATGTTATGAAGGTCCTTCTCGAGTTGTCTGGTTTTTGACGTCGCTAGCGGTGTTTCTATCCGAACTTGATACGCAACATGGCTGCTACCGATGCCGAAAAGACTGAAAAGGTCGCCGACCTGACCCACGAGGAGCTTCAGGTACCTCTCGATGCTGTGCCCAAGTCTCGCTGGGAACGGAGCTGGCCCGTCATTGCTTGCGGTGCTGGTCTCTTTTCCGATGGTTATCTCAATGGCGTATGTTGCACTGAAACCTCTTGAGACCCGTTGCTGGGAGAAAGAATCTGACAGCTCATCGTCACAGGTTATTGGATCTGTCAATACCATGTTGTCCCGAATTTATCCCGACAGCTACAAGAATTCGCCCGCGCTCCGCAATGTCTCCTCCCTCGTCTTTGTCGGCGAGGTAGTCGGCATGCTGTTCTTCGGTATTACCAGTGACTACTGGTCACGCAAGTGGTCTCTGATGGCGTCTACCGTACTGGTCATTCTCTTTGCTGCGCTCAGCGCCGGATCGTATGGTGCTAACGGGAGCCCGACCGGTCTCTTCGCTGCTCTGACAGCCTATCGTTTCTTGATGGGTATTGGTATCGGCGGTGAATACCCTGCAGGCTCTGTTGCTGCGGCAGAAAGCACAGGCGAACTGAAGGAGGGCCATCGCAACCGTTGGTTCATCTTTTTCACCGACTTCATCATCGACTTTGGCTTCGTTGTGGCCGCGTTCGTGCCCATGGTTCTTGTTCTGATCTTTGGAGAGGACCGTCTCGAGGCCCCATGGCGCATTGCCCTGGGTCTGGGTGTTCTTCCGCCACTCAGTCTGGTCTACCTCCGTCTGAAACTCCAAGAGCCCGAGGAGTTCAACCAAGAGCGCATGCACAGGTTCCCGTACGGTCTGATCATCAAGTAAGTCAACTCTTCGCCTTTTGACGAAGAACAATCCGCTAACGATCCGTCCATCGTAGGTATCACTGGAAGAATCTAGTAGGCGATCATCTCTCCATAATAGAACCCGTTCGCCTTGACTCTAACAAATAGCAGCTCGTTGTATCTCTCGTATGGTTCATCTACGATTTCTCCGTCTTTGCCTTTGGAACCTACTCCTCCGTCTGGCTGGCAAACATCCTCGGAACCAGCGCTCCTCTGTGGCAGACTTTTGGCTGGAATGTTGTGGTTAACCTCTTCTATCTGCCTGGCTCGCTATTGGGCGCATTCGTCAGTGATTGGATTGGCCCGCGCATGTGCTTGATTCTCGGCATGACTGCTCAGGCCGTGGTTGGCTTTATCATGTCTGGCTGCTACGAATTCTTGTCGCTTCCTAAGAACGTCGCTGGGTTTGTTGTTGTCTATGGGTAAGTTCACCATCAGTGCTCACGTGTATGCTTCTCCACGGAATGATAAGACTGACAAGTCTAGTATTTTCCTCTCTCTAGGTGAACTTGGCCCCGGCGACAATATCGGCCTCATCGCTTCGAAGTCTAGCGCAACCGCTGTCAGAGGCCAGTACTATGCTATCGCTGCCGCCATTGGTAAAATTGGCGCCTTCGTCGGCACCTATGTGTTCCCTCTCCTCCAGGACAACCCTAACCCGATTGCCGCTGGCCAGAATCCATTCTTTGTTGCCAGTTCTCTTTGCATTTTCGCATCGGTTATAACTTACTTCGGCTTGCCCCATATCGGACAGGTGAGGTTACACATGACTCTCAACACTCGATGGATTGTATACTGGCCTCAGTGACTGACGTGTTCGTTAGGATACTATCACCAAGCACGATCGCGAATTCCGTGAATATCTGGGAGCCCATGGATATGATACTTCTACTCTTGGACAGCGCACCGAGGGAATAGCATGGCAATAGGTCCTATTGACATCTGGTAGCTAAACTATCCATACTCCGATGTTTGAATCAGTTGATGGTATAGTAAGGCTAGGACGAAGGTGCTACAAACTTTAAATATATTTAGTCACTATTGAAACTCTGTAACTATGACAATTATTTGCCTTGATAATTACTGTACTGTTGTGACGATTGAGACGAATCGTCTCAGACGATTAGGGATATGAGATCACGTGAAAGATCAGGTAACAATGCATGAAGGAAGGAATATTCTTAGATGCATTGTTGAGGTGCCTGAAAAGAAAAGCCAGCTGTGACACATTGCCTGTGCACATACATTATGTCCCAACTGAGAGACTCGTAATTTGGGGGAGGTTTGGATGGTTGGGTGGTTTGCATAAAGGCTAAATCTATTCTCATGATCAGCATTTATCTTGAAAATGGACAGGAGGGGTTTGCTATTACCGGCCACCCGGGAAAGAAAGTACGACTACCTCATACTTGACCGTTGGGGATTGGACGGGTGGACGAAATATTACGGACTCGTCTGCTCAAACAACGGATCATTGGTGAGGCCTCATTTCCTAGAACTGATTCAAGTTCTCACATATTTCAGGTATCTCATCAGTGGAGTCGAGGCTTGGCTACCTTCTCGATCCAGTGGCTTCGTGATTATCGGAGACAGTATCACCGATGGACAGAGAAGCACACTGCAAATGCAAACAATCGGTATGAATGCTTCCAAGCTTGGATGTGTCTCTGGGATAACTGAACGAGACAGTTGGCCGGATTTGCTTCTGAAAAAAATGCAGAAACATGGCTCAACGTCGAATATCGCGACCCTCAACGAAACAGCTGGAGGAAACCGCATTCTCCGGGATGGCCTTGGTCCCAGTGTACTCAGCCGTATTGACCGAGACGTGCTAGCGCAATCAGGTGTGCGGTATGCCACGATTTTCGAAGGTATCACAGATACTGGTGTCGCGAGCACCGATGCTGTCTCACAGGACGAGATAGACAAACAACTTGTGGCGGCATATAAACAGATCGTGACACGGATACATGCTTTATGTATCCCTGTTTTTGGTGCTACCATTACCCCGTTCGGCTCACCCTATACCTCTGATTAACAACCCTGTTCGGTTCCGGGGCGTGAGAAGACTCGTCAACATATCAACGTGTTTATCCGGGATAGTGGCATATTTGATGCAGTGCTTGACTTCGATCGAGTGCTGAGAGATCCACAAGCCCCGCCTCAGCTGTTGGGGAAGTATGACTCGGGTAATCATTTGCATCCCAATATCGCGGGATATCAAGCGTTGGCAGATTCCTTCCCTCTTGATACCTTCTCGGGCTCAGATTGACGCTCAAGGTGACGGACCAGAGGTCTATGAAAGTACAGACTCGTCAGCTATACACAATTTTATGTGAAGAGATAGCTGGGAGACCGAATAACGTTGCTCGTTTTATAGAACCATCGGGGCATAGACCTGACATTTATTCTCTGGTCCAATCATAAATACATTTAAGATTACATTTTAGCAAGGTCAGGATATTAACGCTGTTTCGAGAGCGGAAATCGTTTAACCGCGGCGACTGAGGTGCTGCGAGATGCTGCCCTTCTCGTATGCGCCTCTGTTGACAAGAGCCTGCTTCCGTCCTGGTCCAAAGTCCGGGGTACCACCCAGAGTACCGAAGATATCGCCAATGTAGTTGGTAGGCTCGACTCCGGCGGAGAAGGTACTGTGCCATCCGTCGAGAATACCCTCTATGACCTTGATTCCGGCCACGTAGATGTTCTCAATAGCGGGTTCAAAGCCACCTTGGTCGGCGTAGAGGAGGTTGTAGACGGCCGATGAACCGGGATAGGGGCGGTCAAAGTCAGATGCAGTGCGCATCACGATGATGCGGGAGAAGTCAGTCAGCTTGCGGGCCGACGAGCGGAGAAGGGCTTCAAGGGTTGCGTTGTCCTCCTGGGCGGTGGAACAATATTCACCAGTGCCGTTTGTCCAGATCTTGGTAGTGTTTTCGAATGCCGAGCCAAGGATATTTCCGCTATAGTACACATCCGACGTTGCAACATCGCACTCGAGAACACTCGGGCCCAAGGTAGCGGCCTTGAACTGTCCATTGGTGGTCGCATAGTACTTGCGGTAAGCCTGAGCGGCGGCCGAATCAGAAAGGTTGGCCTTGCGCGCAAGGTCGGCAGCAATCGTGCGCAGCTCCGCGTTGACCTCGAACACTTCAGTTCCATAGATGCTGGTGGGATACTGGTCGGGGTAGTCCGCGCCTTGAGGGATATATCCGGTCGAGTAGTTGCTGTTGAGCTCCCGAATATCAATTTCATACTGCAGCGCAACCTGAATAGCGTACCGCGCAAAGGTCACTGAACCAGTGGTGGCCATCTTGGGGCTGATACCGGCAATACCAGCAATGAAGAAGTATGTCCGAGTGAGGTCGAAGAGAGGGGAGAAGGCAACGGAGGTGACCGTGGTCGCGGCATTGATTTCGGACTCGCCAGTGATCAGTTGGCAGATCTCGTAGTCTTCGGTGCAGTGGACATCCGGGTACAGAGGCGACAGACCAGGGAGAGTGATGTTGTGGGCCAACAGGTCGAATTCCGGGATGTTCCACCAGACTTCAGCTTCCGGTTCAAACTATAGTAAGTTAGCTATGCCAAGGAAAGCTCGAGTGAGGCGCGTACCATGGAGACGATGAACACCTTGGGCGCAATGGGCTTCTTAGAGGCCTTGTGCGTAGTGCCGGTAGCTCCGCATAGAGAGCTACCAAGGAGGAACGAGACTGCTAAAGTCTGAAGGAGATGCATGGGTAAATTGGTCGCTGGGCTTGGATTCAGTTGTCCTGCGACCACACCCTTTTATATGAGCAAGTCGTGAAGAAACTGTAATGTGCCTTTCGCGCTAGTGAAACACCATTTGCCCATAAGTGGGCAGCTTTGGACCGGTATAGATAAGAACTACACCCAAACCGTAAACCGTGACGAGAAAAATACCGCCGAGTTTCCGACTGGCCTTTTTTTTTTTTTTTTTTTTTTTTTTACGGGGCGCCATTTGCTTAGTTCGAGATCCAGGTACCCATATGATAAAGGGTGACCAATTGCGTGGGTGCTTATCACGGTATCAAGGTTTAGAAGATTCGAGTCGGAGGTTGCCGAGACTATATCAGAACAGAGCAGAACATAGGCAGCCCTGAATGCAAATGGACCAATATTTGCAGATATTAAGGGATCTAGGGGGAGGGTCAGTTCCATGGTTCCGGCCGTATAATCTCTTTCTCTTTTTCTTTTCTTCTTTTCTCTTCTTTTTGTCGCTCTTTTTGAGTCCTGATGCTCTGGTCTCTGTCAGGTTTCTCATTAACAGGTGTAGCTGTGCTGGCTACGACCCGAGAAACATTAAATTATTCGATGCAGATGTACTGTAGACCACGTGGACACCAATAGCCTCACAGAGATCCAGCGAACAAAACAATGTTGCTTAATTTGAAGCCTGAGACTTCTAATTCCATCAGCCAAGCCCTCACAAAGAGAAGAGCCCTGGCGGGAGGACGCTCCAGGCTTTGGCACGAAACCGGATACTGAAATCCACACGCAAGAAATTGTCGTACCATACAGACAGAGCTCAAGCAATGCTGTCACTTCTTGTCATTCCTGTCACTCCTCGCTTGGCACTTTGCCCGGAACGTGCATCAATTTCCAGTGAGCTAAGCCCGCGGAGCAACTGCATCCAGTTTGCACACAAGTCTACCGTTTATCTACCACACTGGAACACTTGAACACTTCAAGGAGAAATTTTGCCAACGTCTAACGCGGCTACCACTTCTTGGACTTGATGGCCTGGATGATGAGGATATAGAAACCAAGGAAGAATATCGGGTACCACGAAACCCCTCTACTGTCTACGTGCTGAAATTCAACTATCTGAGATACATACATAACTTACATTCAAACCACAAACTTATTCATTGCGCCGAGCGTCTACCCCCACGTTCAAACTTCTGGAAACTGCCATATTTGTTCTGTGCATGACTGGAAAATATCAAACTGCCGTTGAAACTCGCAGCCTTTCGCGACTTATTTCTCGTCCCCAGAGTAGGTATTTGCTTGGATTTTGAGCAAACCCCGTTTCTTTGATGAATATTGCGCGCTGTCGTGCGAGTAAACTTTCTGTCACATGAAGCACACACTGCATTAGCGACTATGCCTCGTCTCTCACGTTCGTGACGGAGAAGGTTGCTGAAATTTGAGAAAACTAGGCCGTTACACCCATGATCCCAGCATCGAAACTGTGTACTGGAAACGTGGGGCTTGACTTTCGGCTTCATGATAGGAAATATCTCTTCAGAGGCCAGCTCATGGCTAGGTTGGCTATTGGAACCGACAGGGTGGTGGTGCTGGGGATTTCCAAGCCTTTCGTTTGGGTCTTGAGAGGGCATAGAAAATATCTCTGAGCCAGCCGAAGTGGATTTTGAAATAGGATAACCGTTTGAGATAGCCTGTGTGGGCAATTGTGCTTTTAATAGTCTTAGTCTGGTTGAAGTTTGATATTTGGACGTGGAGGTACACGGTGTTTGCGAATACCCTATTGACCCGCCGATAAGCAGAGGCGATGCTCGAGAAGCTTCGGACGAAGAGTAACTCCTGCCTCTTGTAAGCTGGTATCATTGGCGTGTCACGGCTCAACTCACGTATCGACTGGTATTCTAGATAGCGATTGGGAAAGAGATGGATCCTTGAAGCATAAATCTCGATGGTATTGCTGTTCGGCTTGATTTCGGTCATGGAAGGCTGGCGAGGGACATGGATGTTGATGGTAATCCAGCGGCGAATTAAATGGACCCTTACGGGACATCGGGCTGTGCACTGGGCGGGCGGGAAACAAGTCCGGTGTTGCTGTGTAGTTATATTCTGTAGCAAGGTAGCTGTCGAAGGTAAGTTCAATCAACACGATATGTAAATCGACGCGAAACTTGCGGTGCGGCCATTCCTTACTTTTGATCGTGTGAACTCTTATAACTACCCACTGTCACTGAATGACTGTAGTCGGGTACCTGGCTCCAACTGTGGAGATTTTCTTGGTCCGGAAAGTTCCCTTCAAGCTGCCTTTCAGGACTGAGTATCCGGATCCCACTAGCCACCAAGCAAAAACGCGCTGGATGGACCCTTTTACACGCTGGACAGCGCCGCAGATCCATGGCGAGAGTATGGCTCCGAGGCTGTACGCTGTCTCGTCTCGGACCGTAAAGTAACTCCTGCGCCAAATCATTGTCAGTTCCATTTACACGCATATACGAGAAGTCATTTGCAAAGAATGTAGGAAGACGAACCTTTCTGGTTGAATGGTGAGGATTGATTGCCGATATCCGATTTTCATATATGGCAAACGGATAGAAAGGGAGTCCGTAAACAAGTGCCTCAATTAGGAGGGCACTAGGGGGGTAGAGGCAGCCGATTGGAGAGGCACCCGGGGTGGGTGTGTCCTGACACAGCGGCTGAAGCAAATTGACTTTTTGTCCTCGGCCCTTTCGTCCAATGCCTGCTGGCCCACCCCCAGGCACGCGGCATAACTCGGGCAGCGAAATTGTTCGATTCGTTGAGCCACGGCTGATCTTTCCACGAGGTTCCAGACCCAAAAAGCTTCGAGAAAGCTTGTCAACTTTGCATTAGGAAAAGGCAAGGTCCGCTGCTGGCGTTTCACATCCACTCTCGCTTTGCTTTGCAGGACTCTCACAAGCCTGACAAGTTCAAGCAGAGCCCGCCCCTAAGTACGTTATCACCTCCAGGTTTCTCCGTATTTTATTATCCCCAGAAAGTGAAATGGAGCAGATATCTGGGATGAGCAGGAATGCAACCATATAACAAAACGGGATGCCCCGAACCTCTGCTTACAACCACATTCTTCCCAAAACAGCGCTCAAGGCTAACGACGTCTCTAAGCGTGGCAAGAAGAAGGCCAGCCTGCGGTGGGTTTTATTATCTTTCCGTATCTCTCATGCGCTAGACGATGAGAACGCCAAAAGATCGTGCTTATCTCCCGAGAGAGATCATTCTCCTCACGGCGGAGAATCTTAACCCTCGTGACCAATTATCACTCTTACGCGCCGTTCCTGACCTCGCCCGAGCCTTGACGTTCCGACACACTTCTGTTCAGGATGAAGAAGGAAATACAATCTTGCACCTTCTCGCAGAAGAAGCTGAGGGCAGATTGAAAGAGCTGCTATTAGCGAAAAGTAGTACTCAAGTGGACCTGAAGAACAACAACGGTCAAACGCCACTCTCTCTCGCAGCTCTGTACGGACGTGAAGCGGTGGTAAAGCTGCTTCTGGAGCGAGACGATGTGGAGGCGGA